GCCCCAAAATAATGCTTGAAAATCCGCCCGCCCGCCCTAGTGTCCGGCCTGCCAGTCCCGCCCGTTTGGGTCCGCCCGCCCGATCCGCCCGTTACGGGCCGCCCGCTCGACCTGGTTGTGTTAATTACCTTGTCGGGATTTATATGGAGCTGGCGTGACAAAAGGACCCCCCCAAGGGGGTATGCGTCGATGAACAGAGGAGGCGGGAATCGATGGTTTGAGGCCTGCTTGTTGAATCGCACGCGAGCTACGAAGAACGATCAGCGTGGTTGTTGTGGTTGTGGTTGTGGTTGTGGTTGTTGTTGTTATGGCTGTGGTTTGGCTTGTTGTTATTATTGTTGTTGTCGTTGTTCTGGTTGTTGGTGTAGTTGTAGCTATTGTTGTTGAATTGTCATTTCTAAAAACCAATCATTGTTGATCCTTTCTGGTAACCAATCTATTTTTCCAATTGAAGTGCCCCACTTAGGGTTCGCACCCTTTTTTTGTCAGGGAAACTCTTGAGCCGCAAACTACGCGGCGGGCCCCCGAATTACAACGACATCGGCTCCCGCCTGATACTTCCTCCCAACTTATCAAAACATTTGGCTCTCGCGCGAGACTTCCGTACAATTTATACAAGAATCGCGCTCTCGCGTGGGACTTCCTCGTAACCTATTTAGACGCCGCGCCCTCAACACTCAGGACTCACGCTGTCGCTGTGCTTTTCTCACGATTTAAGTTGGACTCGCGCTATTGTTTGAGACTTCCTTGCGATTCCTGCACGACTCACGCTTCAACGAGTCGCCAACTTGACCTGGCTGCCTGGGCCTGCCTCCCCGGCCCGCCCGTCAGGGTCCAGCCGCCCGGTCTGCCCGTCTGGGTCTACCACGTGCTTCGTGCTCCTAGCCCCCCCCCTCCTGCTACCTTCTCTCGTGCTCCATGATGCTCCCTCCCCCGTCCATCCGTCCTCTCTTCCCCTGCCTTAGGGGCTGCACTACATGCACGTGGCAGGTGAGAGAGATATGCCCCCAAGGGGGTACGATCGAAGACGAAGAGAGCGGGTACCGAGGTTTTGGGATCGACGTGTTGATTGGCGCACGAGCAGATAAGATCGAACTGTCGTGAAATGATGGTTGTTGTTGCTGTTGTTGTTGTTGTTGCTGTTGTTGTTGTGGTTTTGTGTGTGTGTGTGTGTGTTTGTGGTTGTTGTTGTTGTTGCTGTTGCTTTCGTTGTTGTTGTTGTTGCTGTTGTTGTTGTTTTTGTTGTGGTTGTTGTTGTTGCTGTTGTTGTTGTTGTTGTTGTTGCCAAGTAAAATTGAATGCTCCCCCTGGGGGCTCTCACCATGTTGCCCTACAACTGCGCTGTTGCACACGGAGCACATCAATAACAACTCCAGCATGATACTCTCTACATGTTATTCAGAAACGCACTCTGGCTCGATGCAATCTCTCAATTTACGCAAGAATCGCGCTCTGGCCGGGTTGTTCATCACGACTTGCTCAAGCGCTGCGCCCTCGACGTCTAGGCATCGCGCTCTCCCACAATAACGATCCTTCATAGTTCACGCAGGAGGATCGTGCTCTCGCATGAGGCCTCTTCACAAAATACGAAGTTCGATTCAATCCTCCGTCCGCCCGCCTGGACCGCCCGTCCCGCCCGTGAGGGTCTTCCCGCCCCCTCCTGGTGAGCAAGCCTTGTTCGTCCTCGCCCTCGCATCTCCCTCTCGCCCCATCTTTTCTCGTTTCCTAAATCACTTCCTCGCGTTTTCCTTTTTTGATTTCTCCCTAATCACTTTCTCGCTTTCTCCTTTTTGGAGTTCTCCCTGATTTGCCTGTTCGATGGGCCGCGTTAACATGTGGCAGGCAAGGAACATGTACCCTCCGAAGGGGGCACGAACGAAGTCGAGGGTGGCGGATATCGAGGGTTTGAGGTTGTTCACATTGAACGACACGCGGGCAAGGCCGACCCGTCTTGACACGACCTTTGGTCTCTTTAGGACGGGATCTGTAGGCCGCTTCTGGGCCCCGAGGCAATCAAACACGGAGATGGGATGAAACGCCAACCCGGGGGCAAACGGCCGAAGCGTCCAAAGCCCACCTTGCCGTCGCTCGGACGTCCATTTCCCGTGCATTTTTCAGTTTCGTGCGTGTTTTTGTCGCTCGATGATTTAGGATGTTCCTCAAGGGTCCTCGCCGAGAAGAAAACACACGCGTCCGAGCGATGCCAGGACCATGCGCGCGCGTGCGAACGCGCGCGCGCGAGCGTCCGCGCGGCGCGCGTTCTCATGCCTGATCCGAGCGAACGGGGAGCGACTGCCACAGGCGCCACGGCGCCCCACCAGAGGCGGCCTCAACCGAGCTCAGATGACGTCCCACTTGGAGGGCTTCGCCTCGCCGCGGCGTCCACCCCTGCCCGCCGCCCGTCTCCTTCCCCGCTTCCTCCTGCGTCGTGTTTTTTTCCTGCGACGTGTACCCTCGAAAATCCCGACCCCTCCCCTGGGGCTGGCATTCCACCCGGAGTCGTTCTTTGACGTGCGGGGTTCCCCAGAGGCCGAAAGCGGTCAAACAGAAAACCACCGAGGGCTCCAGGGAGCTTAATGTCGCCTGTGCGCGAGCCTGCTAGTAGGAGGGGGAGGAGGATGTTACAGTCGGGGGTCCTTCTCCTGCTTGTCTCGCCTGGGTGGAACTACGAGGTGCGAATCATTCACCGAAGCCCCGAGCCTGCTTGGTCCTGCAGTGCAGCTTAACATGATCCAGGATACATGAGGACGCGCGGTAAGGACGCAAGAGCCTTGGCCGCCGAAGCTGGCATGTTTCGGGCGGCGGGCTGCCAACACCCAAGGACGCAAGGGTACGCCAACCCACTCCCGTCCTTGCCGAGTGGACGTCGGGACCAGGCGCAAAACAACTCAAAGACGCAAAAGGTATCCCGAGGAAAGAAAGCCGTGAGTCCTTATTCTGGATTTTTGTTGTACTCCTGCCCCTCCTGCTGGAGAAGACCGAACAACATCATGCCACATTCACCATACAAGTGAGCGACGATCAAAAACGGGCCTTGCGCGAGGTGACACAGCGACCTTGCGCGGCAGCTTACGCGGGCCGCCAGCGTGGCACGCTACGTTGAAGACGAGAGCGCTGACGCGCGACCTTACGCGGGCCGCTTACGCACCGATGTCGGCGCAAACGACACCGTTTTTTTTGTGCGTCGCTCAAATGTCGCTGCCCCCTACCAGCCAGGACATCTTGAGTAGGGCTGGGGTGTCAGGTCTGCAGAACACCCCACACTGACGTCACGGGGCGCAACCAACCTGTTCGGTCAAGCCGAAATTGATGCACCACACCCGGCGTCAAGCCAAAACTCTGGACATAATCGAAAAGTTGGACTTTGCGCATCTTCGTCGGCTCTCACCAGCGAGGCGTCAGACCACCTTGACGTCCCTTTTTCGGTGGTCCTGCAGAGGAAGGCGCTCTCTGACCCTCGGCCCTACTCAAGGCATGTTCCGATGCCGCCGACGTACACGCGTCCCCGCGCCACTCGGGCCTCGGCCGCGGTGGGTGCGCAGCCTAGCGCCAGCAGGCCCTTTTTCGGCGGCAGCGAAGGGGACGATCCTCTCCACTACTGCCCGCTAGGTCGGCCTTCGAAGAAGAGAAAGACCATAAACATTAACTGGGGCCACAGGCGGATCCAAGAAATCCGCGCGGAGCGCCAACAGTTTATGTTTATGCTGTTTTTTCATTCGACAGATCAGCGGCAGCGAAGGGGACGATCCTCTCCAGCGCTGCCTCTCCTTCTGCTGCTGCTGCTGCTCCTGCTCGTCCTCCTGGCTCTCCTGCTCCTCCTAGCTCCGGGTCGTGCATGTCCTCCTACAGGCGGATTTTGAAGAAAAGTCGGAAACAGTCAAACAATATGCAAACATAGTAGCAACATAGTCGAAACATCGATCCCCGACGTTTTTTCTTTTGTTGACAATTCTCGGATCTTCCTCCTGCAGAGGGACGTGCCCGATTTTGTCATAGTTCCTGCTCTCCCTGCCCTCGACTCGACGAGACGACGGGGGGACCTGCTGCGCCGGCACCTGGCCCATCGCCGCCGCCTGGGCCATCATCATGGACGGCGGCATCATCATGGGGGGCGCCTGGTACAAAGTGGGGGAAGAACCTTCCTCCTCCTCCTCCTCCTCCGGCTCCTCCTCCCTGTCCTCCTCCTCCTCCTCCTCCTCCTGCTGTTGCTTCTCCTCCTCCTCCTCCTCCTCTTCCTCCTCCTCCCCCGCCTCCTCCTCCTCCTCCTCCTCTTCTCCTCATCCTCCTCCTTCCTCCTCCTCCTCATCCTACTACTCCTCCCCCCCCGCCTACTCCCCCCCCGCCCTCCTCCCCCTCCTCCCTCCTCCTCCATTATCCTCCCCCTCCTCCTCCTCCTCCTCCTCCTCCTTCTTATCCTCCTCTGGCATCCTCCACCTCCCTCTCCTTCTCCTCCTGCGCCCTCGGCTTGCTTGCGTGTCCTGTTCGATGTTGGGCCACCGGAAGCCCCAGCGATCCTCCCGAGGCTTCTGGGATCTCCCGGGACCTGAGGGGGAAGATGCGTTGCTCGAGGCTGCGCACAGACAGCCCTAAAGGCAGTTCCAGATGGCCTCAACAAACCTCCAGACCAGGTGCATCGCCTAGGTACGTGTACACTGCCGCCGCGCCGCTTCCAGTGGCGTCCGCCGGGGCACTCCCAGCGCCAGTGTGGCCGCCCCGAGAGCCTGCCGGAGGCCAATTGGGACTACCTCCAGAACTTGTTTCGGGGAGACGCACGGAAGACTCGAACTCTGTGGGCCCGAGCTCGCCTGACGGGCTCGTCAGCCTTAGGCTTCCCCGACTGCTTGTAAGCAGCCCCAAGCCTCGCTATCATTGCAAGCTCGCCGCGTGGTCCCCCCCGCCAGCCCACACGGCAAGCACGAGTCGTGCGCACGCCCGCAGAAGTCTTGGGGGCCAACCGCTTTGTGCCACACTGCTGCGCCATCTATGGGCTTTCGTGATCACTTGCACCGTGGGCCGGCCATAGCCTGGCTACCCCGAACCCGCTCGGCCCCTTTCTCGGCGGCGGGCGAGGGGGGGAAGCGAAAAGGGGCGGGCCTTTTCAGAAGGCTCGAAGCCCCCCGGCCGTTCTGAGAAATTTCCTAAGCCCAGAAACCGTCTCAGAAGGCCGGAGGGCTTCTGAGAAGTCCCGCCGCCTTCTGAGAAGGCCATTTCCTTCTCACCTCCCCCCCTCGCCCGCCGCCGACTTTCTGAGGAGCTCTCTCCTCCGAAGACAGCGACGGCCTCTCGGAAGGCCGGAGGTCCTCCGAGAAGCCCCGCCGCCTGCCGAGCAGGCGTGCCCCTTCTCACTTCCCCCCCCTGGGCGCGCCGCCGATATCCTGTCCAGGTCCGCACCTCCGAGGTCAGACGATAGCGGGAGATTATGCAGGATGGTGCCTAAAACACATACACTCGGGGCGTTTACCTAAGGAACCCTAAATTAGGAAAGAGGCCCCTTTTTTCCATACGCTAAACTTCGATTCCCCATCGAACACCTACGGACAGCCTAAGGCAAGCTGCGAAACGATTAAGGAACACGGAGCCCCTCCCCAACGAGAAGGGTTCCTTGTTCAGCGGCCCGACCCCGGGCCTGGGTCGGCGGAGGGCGGGGCCAGCGGGGTATCGGCCCCGCGCGCCTCCCACGCCGTGGGCTATAGCCGGAGGGGAGGGGCCGACCCCGCGAGCGCCCGGGCCCCGTCGCGAAGGGCCCCGACGTCTGGCCTCGCAGCGCGCGCCGGCATCCCTGTCGAGGCCGTTTGGGCAGGTTGCTCCCCTCCGCCTCCCCTGTCACTCCTCCCCCGCGCGAAGGTGGCGACCGTCTGCTCTCCCTCCCTCTACCCTCCCTCCTCCCTCCCTGGTGCCCCCGTCCTCCCTCCCTCCCTCATCGCTCCTCCAGGCACCTGTGCCACTGGGTGCCCTTCCCAGGAAAACAGGCGGGTTGCAGCCCCGTCGTCGCCCCCGTTTGCCCGTAGGGGACGGGGGGGGAGAGAAATGGCGCCTCGGCGCCACGCTTTCCAACCCCTGGCGGTGGCCCGGCACGTGAACTGCGTGCGCCTGGGCGGGTCGGGGGTCCACTGCGGGCGGCTCGTGGTGGATCCACACCCATCCTTGCCACGGCCCGGGTGCCCCGCCCTGGCGTGCGTCGGGGTGTGCGGTCGCCCGAGGGAATGGCGCCCCTCGTGTCGGGGCGACACGCCGAGGGGCGTGCCGTGAACTGAGGGCAGTGTGCCCGCCGCCTGGGCACTGTCAGAACGCGCGGCGCGCCCAGGTGCGTGCTGAGCGCGGCGCGCCAAGGTGCGCGCTGCCTGACCCGCCCGTGGTGGTTTGGCTAGGAAGGGGTGGACATCTTAACGATGAAGGGGCTCATTTGGCGGTACAGTGAAGGCTAGCCCACAAGAAACGTTCCCACGAGAAACCCAACCCTGAGACCCTGGAACGTCCATTGATTTTTGCAGCGGGAACGTCGCGCCTTCCATCGCAAAACCATCGAAACCCAGGGCACCCTGGATGCAAGCAGGGTGTTTCTGGGCATGGGTCTCCACTGTAATAATGGAGGGACTCATTTGGCGGTGTCACTCGTGCTCCGCAAGCTTCTTGGCTGGCTTCACGGTGCGGGCCTCCTGTCCCTCGTAGCCGCGGTGCTCATCGAGCTCGGGGGGTGGCATGATTTGTATCACTACGTGATGGCGGCATCCCTGGAATCCTCCTTCTCACTTTCCTCCACGTCCTCCCCCTCCCTCCTCCCCCTCTTCCTCCTCCTCTTCTCCTCCTCCCTCCTTTCTCCATCTCCCTCCCTCCGTCGTCCGTCACTCTTGCCTTCATCCTCCTCCTCCTCCTTCTCCTCCGCCTCCCTCCTCCCTCCTTGTTCTCCCCGCCCGTGATGAAAGGTCAGGATCTTTGTAACAGACACTCCTCGTGTAGCTCTGGGCACTCCTCCTCTTCCTGCTTATTCTTATGATTATGATTATGATGATGCTGCTGATGATGATGATGATGATGATGATGCTGATGATGATGATGATGATGATGATTATTATTATTATTATTATTATTATTATTATTATCATTATTATTATTATTAGTATTGTTAGTATTATCTTGCTGCTGGGCGTTTCGGCTGAGGCTTCCTCACCACCCTAATAGTTGCAACACTTCTGCGGATGGAGTGGGGGCCGTTTTAAAAATAGAGGTGTCGCCTCAGGCCAGCACACGTTCTTCTTGAACATTGCAGCAATTACTTGCGTGAAAGGCGGCTCCTTTCCTACCTTTGTTTTTCGCCGTCGCGCCGCACGCATTCGTCTTAAAGGCCTGCAGGCGTTAAACGGATGGAGGGCGGGCGGGTGGTTTTCGAAATGGGGATCTCGCCTCAGCGCATCGCACACCCGCCTTTGAACACGCGACAATTGCAATGATACAAGGGGGCGCTTTCAAAATGGAACTCTCGGCATATCGCCGCACATTCTCCTGAAAAGTCTGCAACACTCACATGGATGGAGACCTTTTCGCTTCCACAGTGGGTCTCTCGCCTGAGACTTCCTCGCGGTTCATGGCAATAGCATGCAAACTTGTGCAACTGTTGCACACATAGGGTACGGTCCTTGACACCTCGATGAACTGTATGACCGTAAATCTTCGCAATTCGTATGGTTCGTTCGGTGGATGCGAACTGGCTCCTTTTCAGAACGGGCCTCTGGCGTGAATGGCAGAGGGGCCTCTGCTGGTCTTGCAAAGGGGCATTTCTTGTAGTGCGCATGAAGGCTGGTAGTGACTTCAGAAGAGGAGACTTGGGAACGGAGAGTGACTTGCAACATCGTTGATGCATCTTGGGTTTGCTGATGTCGTCGCCCTCCTCTTCCCCCCCATCCTCCGTCCGCCTCTTTTACCGATAAATGAACGTGCTGGTACTACGGCCTCTCGCCATGAATTGGCTGACGCTGATTGTGAATCCGGCAGGAGCTGGCAGGGCAGCACGCCAATAATCCTAGGTAGGGTTCCCCTCTCCGTTCTGCTCCTCCTCTCTCTTCCCCTCCCCCTCCTCCTCCTCCGACCGAACTGTGCGTCTGAATCCTCTCACAGGAGGCGTTGCCCGCCTCCTCCTCCTCCTCCCCCTCCTCCTCCTCCTCCTGCTCGTCCTCGTCCTCCCAAAGGGCCGCGGGGGCGCCTCGCTGCCGTTGGCCAGAGGCCCCGCTGGCCTCGCGCCCGCCTGGCCCACCGCCGCCGCGGTCAAGGCCGCCGTGAGCGCCTCGTCGCCCCGGCCGATACCACTCTCTTCGTCCTCTTCTTCTTCTTCTGCTTCTTCTTGTTCTTCTTCTCCTCCTTCTTTCCTTCTTCGTATTAGTTTCCATCTTTTTACTTCGCTTATTATTTTCATTCTGTTGAGCAATCGTATTTTTCTTAATATCAGCATGACAGATAAAAGTATAGTGATGCGTTTTCTTCTGGTTATTATTCGCACCAACAATTATTACTACGATTGTGATTAGCAGTACCCGTACTATTATATAACTACAGTTATGGTTCTCACTATTACTCGTATAATTAATAACCCGTAATACCATTAGGTTTGTTTCATGCTGCTATATGTTTAAATATGTATGTACATGTCTACATGTGGTGTTTTTTTTGTTTTTTTTTGTTTTATTTGTTTGCTTATTTTTTAATTATGGCCTTTTCCCTTGATTTGGGTATCCTGGGGCCACGTTCGGGCCCCAAGGCCATCAAACATGGGCCCAGGACGAAAAACTAGCCGTGGGGAAGTGGTCGAGCCATCTGGGGGCCGCGGATTGAAACGATCGGTCCATCGGACCTCTAGGTTCGCTGCTGCCTTTTCTGCTGTGTGCGTGTGTGTGTGTGTGTTTGTGTGGGTGCCGCTCCTCTGGCCCATCAGTGGCTCTTGCTTTCCCCTGCGAGCCCTGCCGTTCGGCTGTTCTGGCCGTCTCTCGTGCGGAGAGAGCTCCGAGAGGGTTCCCAGAGGGTCCCCAACAGTATCAGTTACCAAGGTGCGGTGGCGGGCTGGGTCGTGGGCCACCCGATCCAAGAGGGGCCTGACATCGCCCGGACGCCCCAGCCGAGTCCCTAGAGGGCCCCCACAAAGTTGACCAAGAGACGACCAGGCTCGACTCCCAGATGGTCAGGACGGCGCTGCGTTGCCGCCGAGACGATCCAAGATGGCACCCCGTCTGGCCTAAGATGGCCCCAAGATGCCTCCAAGGCGGTCCCAGATGGCGGCAAGAGGCCACCATGAAGCCTGAGGCGGCTCCCAGAGCCCCGAAACGTCTCCTAAGAGGTCTCCTCCTCCTTCTCCTCCTCCTCCTTCTACTCCTCCTCCTTGTTGTCCTTTTCGTCCTCCTCCTCCTTCTTCTCCTCCTGCTCCTCCCACTCCTCCTCCTCTTCATCCTCCTCTTCCTCCGCCTCCTCATCCCTCTCCTGATTCCCCCCCTCTTCCTCCCCCAGCGGCTGTTCTCCTCGTCATACGCTTCTTGGGAACCTCCCGGGGCTTCAGAAGAACTCTTCGTGGCGCCGGGTCTTTATCTTCCCGAACAACTGCCGCTGTCACCTTCATCATGGGGGTTTTCTTCTTTCAAGGTCGGCGGTACCAGTCGCAAAGCGTTCACACTGTCAGGAGGACAACGGCAAGTGCGGTGAATCCGCGGAGGAAGATCATGATAATGATGATGTCGCGGATGATGCTAACGATCCTGATAACGATGAGAGGGGTGACGACAATCGACGAATGATGATGCGGACGATGATGGAGACGATGCGGGAATAACAGGCTGGCAAGGAACAGAACGCGAGGAAGCAGGACTGGATGGGTGAGGGGCGAGGAGAGCGTGTGGGGGGCGAGGGGGGGGGAGGTGATGCGCGGGAGATGGGATGAGATGGGGACGGGATGTGAAGGGAAGCGGAGGTGAAGGATGGAGACAGGGGGATATACTGAAAGGCTGTCTGGGCAAGGGAGAGGCAAACGGTGGACGCGGAACGAAGCGCATGTTCCCTCCAAGCTAACCCGACATTCGCTGCTAGACCCAGGGAAGAAGTCCATGGAACATCGAACCCCGACTGCACTGCGGGAGACGTTCGATGCAATTTGCATAGGAGCCGAGAAAACAGTCAGCTCCACTAAGTCTGGTTTGTCATGCGCAAGTGGCCGACTGACCAAGAATGGAAATCCCACTCAACCAGCGAAGTCAATGCCATGCGCATATCAAACGCATCCAGCCCTGTTCGGCAAGATAAGAGGTACCTCCTTTCCAGGTGGACAATCATGATGAAAGCAACGGACGGCGGTCGACGATTGCCCCCAATGACGCAGCCTTCTCCGCCTCTGACTTCTTCTGCCCCGGCTTTTTGAAGCACTGGATGGGCGGCACGCGCTTGTGGCCAGAGGGGTTGTTCGCGAGCAAACCCTCGGCAGTGACGCCGATCACGCCCTGCGAAGAGCTGGGGAGCACTCTGAACACACTCTAGACATGTCCCCTCCTTTGTCCTGCCTCTTCGCTTCAGAGCTCAAAGGTACAAATTCGATCTCCACTTACTTACTTTACCAAGAGAAAATGTCAGCCAGATCCAGGGGCATGGTCATGATCTTCGAACACATGAATTAGAGAGCGGGTCCAAACTCATCATACCTCGCAGAACACCGTATTCCGCAAATGCCAAGTCCCCATTTGTGGGGTTGGTGGGTTGAGCTCTTATCAAACATCCCAACACCTCCAGCACTCCCTTCGAGACTCTTCTTGCTTGCAAGCATCCGCCTGCCTGCGCCCCCTCCTGAACCCTTTGACAGAAGTATATGCGCAAGCCGCTTGCCACATGAGACTCTGGGCAGCGCACGCTGCCCAATTGCTGAACAACTACGGTCATGTGCCAGCACTGCTGGGCTGGCCCGATCGGGCCGGAAGCAAGCCGGGCTGGACTGGCACCAAAGCGCACCGTTTGTCCGTCTGGAAATCAGAAGGGCACCATCGGCCTGGCGTAAGACACACCAGACCAGCCCGAACTTCTGTACAACAAGTCCGTGTAGTGGCGACCTCGGCGCTGCTTCCTCAGACCGCGTGGATCGTTCAGCCTTGAACGATCGCGGTTTACCGATAGTGCAAATCGGTCCAGGGACATCTTTGACAACATCCAGAAGTTCGAGTAGGAGATCGCCGACATAATTTCTGCACCCCAGAATTGACATTTGATCGAACCCTCGACACATGCATGGAATGTTCGGCAGATCTTCTGAGCGTTCTGCGCATTTTGCCCAGACCCGCGGACTCACACATCATCGATTCGATAGCCGATCCCCTGCTCGAGCAGCAGAGGAGCGGCCAACTGCATAAGCACCACCTTGTTGACATGCGCACGACTTTCTTGGGCCGGCGCGGCGGTCCCTCCCCTCTGCGCGCGAAGAGCGCGTCTCGGGGATGGACAGACCCTCTTTTAGTAAAACGTGGTTGAGTGAAAACGACCTGAGGCCCAAACCTGGCGGGCGCAAGCCTGGAAAATAGCGGCCGCGGCGCCTTCTCGAGAACCGACGACGGACAATTCACTCATCGACGTGTCACTGCTGGGGGTTCTGTCCACCCCCGACCTTTGCGCGCGACGAGCGCGTCAGGGGCAGCGCGCCGGAGGCGCCGCCTCCAGGGGCCCCCCCGGCGCCGACCCGAGACATCCGTGCGGAGCTCCGCAGAGGTCTGTGTCTTCGGGCGTCGCTGGCAGCGCCCTTGGCCCAAGGTGCCCGAGGAGGAGGAGGAGGAGGAGGAGGAGGAGGAGGAGGAGGAGGATCTGAGCAAAAAGGCCTCCACGGTCTCCAAAGCACCCCTTACGGGGTCCGGAAGGCCCCAGGCGCTCCAGCATGGAGTGCAAAGCCGGGGGCACCCTGGGCCAGGGTCACCCTTGGCAGCCCCCGATGTTAACGTCGTCCTTTTTCTTCCTCGATCTTTGGGCCAGGGACACCGTTGGCAGCACCCAGACCTCAAAGGCCTCTTCGACGAAAGGTAGGGGGGAGGGAGGCAGATTCAAAAGTACTACTCCAAATGCAGTTATCGCGAGAGGCCGAGGAGGAGTAGAGGGACCACATGGATGAGGGGAGGAGAGAGAGGACGAGAGAGAGGGAGGTAGTGGACGAACAACAAGATACCACTATCGATTACCTGGACTTCTCCCTGGGTGCGTTCTGACCAAGATCTCGAGGCGAATCTAGCCATGGCGACGACGAAGGGTTCTCCAGATTTTATATGATCAAGGAGGGAGATCACAACCCTCCCAGAGCAGCAATTTAGATGTCCCCAGACCAGCCATGAGAAGGCGGCTTTTTACCCAGACCCCCTTTGAGCCCTGCAAGACAACCCACATCGTAACCCCCGAAATCAGACCACGTCCGCCTGATTGCCAAATCTGGAATAGCGGCATCGGTATATTTTCCCCCTCTGAGCCCTCATATCTGACGTGACAGAAACACGCAACATCGTGACAAACTACGACTGGCGCCCTGGACCTCATCTGTCTGCGGCATTTTTCAAGCTGGATCGATCTGCGAGACGGTCCCGGGGCCCGAGACCTGGCGAACCTGCTTCTTGTAGAACACATTGCGCCTCCCGGAGCTCAGGGAGGAACGAATGATGGGGGGGGAAGGCGGGGTTGGGGGGGGGGAAGGCGGCCCCTCCTTCTGAAAGGCCTGGGACGACGACGACGACGACGACGGGCGACGGGACGACGGGACGACGACGACGACGACGACGACGACGACGACGACGACGACGACGACGACGACGACGACGACGACGGACGACCGACGACTACGGACGACCGACGACGAGGCCTCGCTTTCCTCCTCCTCCTCCTCCCTCCTCCTCCTCCTCCTTCACCCTCCCTCCCTCCTCCGCCCTCCTCCTCCTCTCCTCTCCTCCCTCCTCCCTCCTCCCTCCCTCCCCTCCCCTCCCTCCCTCCCTCCCTCCTTCCCTCCTCCCTCCTCCCTCCTCCCTCCACCCTCCATCCCTCCCCCGCCACCCCCCCCTTCCCCCCCCCCCGCCTCCCGCCCCCATCCTCCCTCCTCCCTCCTCTCCCTCCTTCCTCCTCCTCCCCCTCCTACCTCCTCCTCCCTCCTCCTCCTCCTCTCCTCCCAGCCTCCCTCCTCCTCCTCCCACCCTCCCTCCTCCCTCCTCCTCCTCCTCCTCCTACTCCTCCTTTTCCTCCTCCCGCTCCCCCCCCTTTGCCCCTCCTCCCTCCCTCCTTCGTCCTCCCTCCGCCATCTCCCTCGTCCCTCGTCCCCTCCCCCTCGCCCCTCCTTCCCCTCCTCCTCATCTCTTCTCTCCTCTCCTCCTCCTCCATCCTCCTCCTCCCTCCCTCCTCCCACCTCCCTGCTCCCTCCCTACACTCCTCCCCTCCCTCCGCTCCACTTCTCCCTCTCCCCTCCTCCCTCCCCTCCCCCTGCTCCTACCTCCCTCCTCCCTCCTCCCTGCTCCCTCCCCCTCCACCTCTCCTCCCTCCCCCCCCTCCTCCTCCTGCTGCTCTCCTCCCCCTCCTCGATCCCCTCCCATCCCCTCCTCCTCCTCCTCCTCCTCCTCCTCCCTTCCTGCTCCCTTCCTCCTCTCCTCTTCTCCTCTTCTCCTCTTCTCCTCTTCTCCTCTCCTCCTCTCTCCTCCTCCTCCTCCTCCTCCTCCTCCTCCTCCTCCTCCTCCTCCTCCCGACATCACCGCCGCGGCCGCTCTCCAAGGAGCTCTTCGGCGACCTTCGGCGACCCGCGAAGGTCTCCGAAGTCCGACGGCCTTCGACCGTCTTCGAAATTCGACTGCCTTTGGCATGGGGGGAGCGGGTTCTCAGGGAAACGTGTCCTGCACCCTGGTGCCTGGCCCCATGACGCGGTCTTCATCCTGAGCCGTCTTGTGACATTCCTGGGGCCCGTTGAGGGCCCCGAGGGCCCGAAACCGGGGAAAAACCTCAGGACCCGCCTCCCTCAGGACTCGCTTCCCCCTAAGGTTAGGTCGGGCGTGTCTCCCTAGAGGCTGATCTTGGACGAGCAGCAATACATACACCAAAAATGCTCCCAACAAATTGTCAAAACGTCATCGAAATATTGCCCCTGCGATCTTTTGGCTGGTCTTGCATACTCCTCCTGTAGGGGGACATGCCCGACTTAACCCTGTGGCGATCTCTGCGCCGCTCGATTCTCGACCGCCGCCTCCCTCGCCCCCCCCTGGGCCCCGTGTGGTGGCAACCCCCCCCGACGGCCCGACCCGCCACACCTCCCGTGCACGCCATCGCCGCCGCCGCCGCCTGTGGACGCCCGAAATGGGTACGGAAAACATGGGTACAATGCCCAACAACAAATGCTGTCCCAAACCGACAGCGGCCGCTGTTGGGCAGGCGGCCTTCTGTCTCGAATGGACACAGGCCGCGGCGGCGTGGACCGCGAGTCTTGTTCAAAATGAACAGGACCTGCTGTTGGGCATTGTACCCCTTCTTTCCCTACCCATTTTGTTCGTGCCGAGGGCCGCCGAGCTCCCGTGGCCTCTTCGGCGACCTCTCCGGCGATCTTCGAGGGCCTCTGAGGGTGGGCGATCTCTGGGAGGCTCCGGGGCTGGCGCCAACACCAGCAGGGCAGAGCAACCACCGCCGTAGTAAGCACCCCGGCAGGCGAGGCCGTGTCGCAAACGCAGCCGAAGGAGGGATCGAAGAGGGCAGGGCTGTCTGGTCCATTCCCGGGGCCGCTCAGTCAACGCCAGCTGTCGGGGTCTGGGCGGTTTTCCTCCCTTGAATCTTGGCGGCTGCCTCTGCCGAGGGGAGAAGATGGTGGCACCGCTCGGGCTCCTCGGGCGGCCGAGGGGCTACCGCTGGCACCAGCATCTGGGAGCACCTCTGCCCGGGTGGAGGCGCAGCCCTGTGTCAGTCCTGGTGCCAATTTCCAGGCCTCCAAGTCGTAGAGACGGCCTTCGGAATCCTACCATCTTCGCAACTCGACCTGCGAGGCCTTCCGCAGATTCAACCTCGGAGCCCCAAGTCGAATCGCATCGGAATCGGAGTCGATCGACATCGCGTCGAGTCGGATGAATCGAAATGAACCCTGCGAAAGGGGCGCTGGCGACGTCACCGTGGCGGGGCCGCCGCCACTGCCGTGGACGTCGACGTCTTGGACGCCCGAAATGGGCACGGAAAGCATGGGTACGATGCCCAACATCAAACGTTGTCTGGACCACTTCACGCAAATGAAGTCCAAGCGAACAGGATGTCCCTACGATTCCAAATCTCCGTTGTTCCACATACGGAAAGAAAACGCTTCGCTGCCTGACGCGTGGTGGTTAAACAGTGGCTCGTCCTGGATGGGAAGTTGAAAACTAGAATTAGCCTGACGAAGGATCCAACCAAACGCCGACAGCGGCTGCTGTTGGACTGCCGACCGTCTGTGCCAAATGGGCAACGTCCGAGGCGACGCCGACAGCGAACCCTGTTCCAACTGGACAAGAACTGCTGTCAATCTTCGCACCTTTGCCTTCCGTATCATTATGCACCGGCCTTGCAGACGTGCTGCAGCGGATTTCTGCGCGGACCTCTGCCCGAAGCGGCGAGCGAACAACGACACGAATTTCGCGTGGGTCCTCTTTGGTCTTCATTCCTGGGCAAAAACACAAATCCGCACGAACATCACCTCGAAATCCGGCACGGAATTCTCCAGGACACCCCAGGCCCGCCCGATCGTTTTCCAAGCGAAATCCGCCCTGCATCTCGACCCTCCAGGAGAAAAGCGCGCCCTGCCCTGGCGCGCGCGGGGTAGCGGCGGCGCCTCCCCGACGACCAGCAGCAAATCGGTGATGGGGACGAACGCCCACTCGCAGGGCGGCGTGTCCGGGTCCAGGCCCCGCGACGCTGGGTTCTGCTCGCCCTCGGGTGGGGCGTGAGAGGTCATCATAGTACGATGTGCTGGGCTGGAGGAGGAGGAGGAGGAGGAGGAGGAGGAGGAGGATGAGGAGGAGGAGGAAGAGGAGGAGGGGGAGGAGGAGGAGGAGGAGGAGGAGGAGGAGGAGGAGGAGGAGGAGGGAAGGAGGAGGGAAGGAGGAAGAGGAAGAGGAAGAGGAAGAGGAAGAGGAAGAGGAAGAGGAGGAGGGGGAGGAGGAGGAGGAGGAGGAGGAGGAGGAGGAGGAGGAGGAGGAGAAAGAGGAGGAGGAGAGGGAGGAGAGGGTAGGACGTGAGAGGGCATCATAGTACGATGTGCTGGTGCTGGAGGCGTGCCTCCGACACGAACGTGCAGTGCGCGGATCTTGCCGCACCTCGTTTCCTGAGCGGCATGACCACACAGCGCTCTGCCGCAGAGCTTCTACTGCGAGATTTCTGAACTTGCGCGCCGCCCTGGCGGGGCCGACGCGCACGCAATCTAAGCATGCCCACCCCTTCATTTCAGCACGGCACCGCCCTCCCCAATCCCGCGCGCCCCCTCCATCCCCTCACCCACCAGCCAGCGCGCCTCCGGCGCCCCGACCTTTCGGCACGGCACCGCCCCCTCCCATCCTGCGCGCCCCCTCCATCCCCCCACCCACCAGCCAACGCGCCCCCTCCGCCCCGACCGAGCCTGTTATTTCGGCGCGGCACCGACCCCCTCCCATCCCGCGCGCTCCCGCCGCATCCCCCCACCCACCCGCTCGTCCCCTCCGCGTCCCCCCACCCGCCAGCCAGCGCGCATCCCCTCCGCCCCGGACTTTTTTTATTTCGGCACGACACTGCCTTCTCCATCCCGAGCGCCACATCAGCACGCCCCTTCCGCTCCGACCCATGTATTTCGGCACGGCACCGCCCTTTCCGCCTCGACCTTTATATATTGGCACGGCACCGCCCCCCCCATCCCGAGCGCCCCCTCTGCATCCTACGCACCAGCCAGCGCGCCCCCTCCGCCCCGACCCGTTTCATTTCGGCACGGCACTTCCCACCCCGCATCTCACGCACCCCCTCTGCATCCCCCCACCCACCAGCCAGAGCGCCCTCTCCGCCGCGACCTCTTTATTTCGGCACGGCACCGCCCCTCCCATCCCGAGCGCCTCTTCCGCATCCCCCACCCACCAGCCAGCGCGCCCCCTCTGGCCCGCCCTTTTGCGCATCCACCATCCACCAGCCAATGCGCCCCCTCCGCCCCGGCTCCGCGCCGACACCTTTATTTCGGCGCGGCACCGCCCCCCGACATCCCGCACGCCCAATTCCGCGTCACCCCACCCACCAGCCAGCGCGCCCCTCCGCCCCGACCCCTTTCTTTTGGCACGGCACCGCCCCCCCATCCCGAGCGCCCCTCCATCACCCCATCCATCAGCCAGCGCGCCCCCTCCGCCCCGACCCACTTATTTCGGGACGGCACCGCCCCCCTCCCATGCCGCGCGCCCCTCCGCATCCCCCCACCCGCCAACCAACGCGCCTCCTCCACCCCGACCTCGTTTTTTTCGGTACTGCACTGCCTCCCCTCGTCCCGCGTGCCTTTTCCGCGTCCCCCCACCCACCAACCAACGCGCCCCCTCCGCCCCGACCCCTTCATTTCGGCAGGGCTCCGCCCCGCCCCGGCCCCTTACTATCGGCCCTTTACATCCTCCCACTTACCAGCAAGCGCGAACCCCCTGGGGCCCGCGCCCCCTTCGCATCCCCCCACCCACCAGCCAACGCGCCCCCTCCGCCCCGCCCCCTTTGTTTCGGCACGGCACCGCCCCCTCCGCCGTGCAGCCGGTCCCGCAGGACACCGTCCCCGCCCGCGGCGCACCGCGCACCTCCCACCCAGGAGTTGGGCCCCGTGGCCGGGCCCCAAAGGTACTCCGAAAGCACTTGGGGCCATGCTGCCACGCTCTTGGGGCTCTTGGGGTGCATGATGGGAGCTACTTCAGCAGTCCTGAGCTATCTTCAGCCATCTTGGGGGCCATCTCGGTGCGATCTTCGGCCATTTCGGGCGCTCTACCCGCTCGCCACACCCCCTACGCACAAGCCAAAATAAACTCAGGGAGGGGGGGGATGGTACACCTCCCCGAAAGGAAGAGGCGTTTGGGATGGGCACGGGAGGTTGCGCTAGACCACCTGTGCCCAGAGGGTCGCTGTGATTTCGAAGTGGACCCGGCGCCGCCCCCCAGCGCTTCTCGCTGACGCCGACAATTCGGCGCTGGGGGGAGGAGGGAGGAACGGAGGAGCAGGGGGGAGGAGGGAGGGAGGACGGAGGAAGAGCAGACGGAGGAAGGAGGAACGAGGAGGGAGGAGGGAGATGAGCGGAGGGAGGGGGAGGGAGGAGGAGGAGGAGGAGGAAGAGGAGGAGGACAAGAAGCGGCGCTACGGTGCCGGCGAACGAAACGGCTCGGGCCGCAAATTTGGTCTACGGGGGAGGCCGTTTATTCGAGAGGCGCATACAGCTCCGTCAACCCCCAATGATCTACCCGACAGCCTCTGTACACAAAACGACTGCCCTGGACACGTTCTCCGTAATTTCAAGGCCGTAACATGTGGCACTTTGCACCGCGAGCATCCAGCAGCCGGGTCTGCTCCAGAATTTCTTGGGGCCCTCCTTGGACCTTGGAAGCTTCTGGGAAGCCTTTTCAAAGCCTTTTGCGGTTGCCGGGGGCCTTTTGAAACCCTTTGTCGGCTTTTTGGGTGTCTGTTGGAGGTCTCTTGGGAGCATGTTGCAGGTCTATGAGCCCATCTTGTGGAGGACGGCCTTTGGCGCCTCCTCAAGCTCGCCCTCCGAAACCCCTCTTGCGGCCCTCGCTAAGCCTTGCTTTTCCGATTTCTCGTCCCCCCTCCTCCTCCTCCACATCCTCCTCCTCCTCCTCCTCCTGCTCCTCCTCCTCCCCCTTCCTTTCTGTGCAAGAACCATGGCAAGCGTGCCACTCGTTTCGTGTTCTAGACTACGCCGTGAATCGTCCGAATACGCCTTCAGGACGCGAAACGAACAGAGAGGTGAAACAGGCATGGGCACCGCTCAGCGGCTGACGAGTGCCCTGCAACAAGGAAGGGGGGGGGAGAGACCGATGTCGGTCGGACTCGGCATTGTAGCAGCCTGCGCGCCGCCATGCTGAAGGCTCTCACCCCGAGAGCTTGCTTCGGCCGCCGCCCTCCCCAGCGAAGGGAGGCCCAGCCCTGAGTCCCGGGCGGCCCGACGCACGGAATCGAGAGGGAGGAGGACGCGCTGAGCGATAGAAGCGACAGCGCGGAACAGCAAGGAAATGTGAAGTCGGCCCTCGGGAGGAAGCCGATGAGTGGCGGAGGAAGCGAGGCATAGAGGGGGCAACTGGCTGTAATTACTGTGCTCCTGGGCCCCTCGGGGAGGCCGAGTGCAGCTCTGCCGACCGGCGCGGCAACGCCATCTGCCACTTGGCCCCTCTGTCCTCCTCCTGCTGCTCCTCCTCCTCCTCTTCCTCCTCCTCCTCCTCCGTTCTCCTCCGTCCTCCTCCCTCCTCCTACCTTCTTCTCTTCCTCCTCCTCCTCCTCCTCCGTCCTCCTCCCTCCTCCTCCTTCACCTCCTCCTCCTCCTCCTTCTCCTCTTTTTTTTGCACGCTCTGTGCTGCTACCCGAAACCGGCCAACGATCGAAAACGGGCAAATGACTAAAGTTTGGCCTCGCCAGCATGAAAGCAACAGGACGCTATGGATCGAAGAGAATGGAGGCATCCGCCCAACCCATGATCTTCCCCTTTCCCATAGTGGTCCTGGCACCGCCGCCTGGTAGCGGTGACGGGCGTAAACAGGCGTGAGCGGGCGCGCGCACAGGGAATCTCCCCCATCCTCTCCCCGCACCACAATCCCATCATCTTACCCGCAACCCACATGTGAAACAAGGATGCCGCCACGCAACGTTCACGAACCATGCGATGATCCGAACTGGAGCGGCTCCAGCCACGTGCCTTGAAAGGCAGTGCGAGCAGCCATTAATGGCCATGGCCGCGAAATCCTTGGTCCCCTGGGCCAGGGGAGCTTGCCTGCGCGAAGCTGGCCAAACTGCTGCTTGTTAAGATCACAACATGCTCCTGCCAAGTTTCTGGCCCGGCTTACCGTGTAAGCACCGCGTGTGTTACAAAACAGGCATGGGGCATTCGACCTCTGAGCTCGCGCCAGCCAAAAGTTGTGGCGGCGTCCCTCCGTCGAGTGGTCTTGGGTGATGATGGCGCGCGCTGCTCGTGGCAACGCGGCGCAGACTCCTTGAGCCTGCGCCTGCGGCCCGTCCTTCAAGGTCTTGCAGCAGCGCGTGCAAGGCCACCTGCTGCCACCCCATGCTAACCAATGGCGCCGCCACAGACTGGGGGCGCTCGGCGGGCGCGGCACTTTCTGGAGAGGGCCCCGCAGCTCTTTGGCCGAGGGCCATAGGGCTAACATCGTGGAGACGGCAGAGGCTACGCGCACCCACTCCATCATCGCGGCATCGTGGATGCCTATGTTAGCCAGGACGTCCGGATGCTGGAGCCCCCCCTCCTTCGCCAGCTGGTCGGCGTAATAGTTGCCCCAGTAGCGCCAGAGCTCCTGGCCGTGGAGTCCTTCCGGGCTTTGGTGCGCCTTGACCTTGGTGAGGCGCCATGGGGCCGACCTAGAGTTTTTGATGCACCGCCAATGTGCCGAGTGATCCCCCTTCCCATCCACAGCCTTCCGAGGGAGGCCAATCCCGTGAAAGAGGGAAGCACAATCCACATGGAGGGAGGTCGGCGGGGAAGGAGGGTCGAGTGGGGAATGATTTAAGCCCTCCAAGAGTCCTTGATGTTCGGCCACACCCGCAATCTGTGATAGATTGCCCGGGACGGCACCGTATATACCCTTCACAAATTCTCCAACATCGTCTATTGAAATAACTGCCCATCCCGCTCTGGCAACCAATGCAGAGGAGGATTCGAGGCACGATCCGTCTCCGAACAGCGGCTCCCCAGGATCGAACTCGAATGGGTCGACGGGGCCGTCTGGACCACGGTACAAAATTGTGGGCGCAGGGTCAGGCGGGGCGACGTCAGCAGGGACGGGGATCCAGAGGCAAGAAAACAAGGAATCATATTGACCCGCGGCCAATGCCTGGGACCCCAAATCCTGGTCCACCAAATCAGACCGTTCCTGAGCCACACAAGGGCACTGCCACACGCGGTGCCAGACTGTATCCGGGCCATTTCCACACCTTCGGGCATGCCGTGCTGACTGAATATCCCGATTTGTGTAGCAAAGTGCGCGTAGGGTAGCACCGCGTGAACACCAGGCGCATCAAGGTCCTAGCATGAAAACTGCGGCGTCGATGCCCCAGTGGCCCGAGACGGGCCCCACGGAGTCTGAAGATGGAGGGCAACCTCCTCCAACCTCTCGATGCTGCTGCTTCTCCTTTTCCTCCTCCTCCTCCTCCTCCTCCTCGATCCCCTTCCTCCTCCTCTCCTTCCCTGCCCCCTCTCCCGCCCCCCTTCGTTCCTCCCAGGCGGTGCGGCAGCCCGTCGTGCCGCAGCCGCGGCCGGGCCTTGTTCTCCCAGCCGAAGGTCCTGGCCGACTGCTTGTCCGCCCTGCGCGCGGCGGCCGACTGGCGGTTGCCAGACTCGGGTGCTCGCTAGCGGGGGGGGGCAATACACCGTAAGGCGACGAAGCGTGCACCCTGCGTGCACCTCTCTCGGGTGTTGCAGAGGAGTGCCCCCCGGCCCAGGGTGCTCCCAGGATTTCCGAGGAGGCGCCTACGGCCACCGGAGCGCCCTTCACGAGGCCCAGAGGGCCCCCGGGGCCCCAAAACTGAGCCGAAAGCTGGGGGCACCTTGGGCCAGAGGCACCTGTAGCAACCCCCGACTCTCGGACCCGCGATCCATCTGGTAAGGTCAACCCAGACCCGGGTCAGTCGGGCGTTGCAGGATCCTGCAGGATCCTGCGGGATCCTGCACCCAAGACTCGGTCAATGAACCCCTGGCCCTGCAGGACCCTGCAAGATCCAGCGCTCTTCTTGACCCCCGTCTGCACTGACGTCCATCTCTTGCGCCCCGACTTGGAGGCCCCCCTGGGGGCCCCAAGGGCCTCGCGCAGGGGGCCCCGCCCGGGCCTCTCGGGGGATCCCAGGGGGCACCCCGTCAAGGGGCGCCTGCCGCGGCACCCGAGCAGAGGGGGGGAGAGAGCCCGGGGTGGGGCGAGCCTTCCTTGGGGGCCTCTTGTGGGCCTCCGCGGCCCCATCAGACACGCGATTTCGAGTCCAGACGTCGACCACCTCTCTTCACCCCGTCGTCCAGATTTCGTCCACGCGTCGACCAAGTCCGTCGAGGTCTGGGCGAAATCCCGCTGGCCGCAAGAGACTGCGGGACCCTGAGGCTCCCATGAAGGACCGCACCACCGAGAGTAGAAGAAGAAAGCGAGCAGAAACACAAACTTTCGGAGGTCCGTGCGGATTTCTTGCACCGCTGCTTGGCCCCCCCCTCTCTGGCGAGCGGAGCGCGCCAAGGGTAGCGCCCGAGGCGCCGCCAGGGGGGGCCGAGCGCCGATGCAGAAGACCCGCGCGGAGTTCCGAACATTCGTGCTTACGCGGCCGTTCTTCTTCGAGAGCAGGGGGAAGGAAGACCCGAGAGGACCCGGCCGCGAGCGATACTAGGAAAGTTAGCAGGAGATCGAAGGCAACGGGAGCTGCCTCCTGCAAAAGCGGCCGACCTCCGCCCAGCGCGACATGCTTCGGGAGGCCGCCGGTGACGACCAAACCCTGGGCTTCCGACGCTGCGCGGACCTGTCAACCTCGAACGATCGGAGGGTTTGCGTTAAGTCGGGCGTGTCCCCCTACAGGGGGATTTTGGGCGAAGCATTTCGAAATGGTAAAACATGTTGAGAATCAAAAATACGAAAGCATGCTAAAAAAGGACAGGCCCGACGTAAGGTTTGCGATCGCCAGGTCGTTCCATACTGTCCGGTCCTGGGCCCCTGGCAACCCCGCGGCGGGCTCGCCGCCGTGCCGACGCGGCGCCAGCCCGTCTCGCGCAGCGGCCAGCCACGTGGAACCGCGCACCAAAAACCTCGGGACCCCGGCTCCCTCCGGACTCGCTCCCAGACATCCTCCGGTGTGATTCCCGACCACTTCCCCCGAGGCTAGTGTTCGGTCGGGCCTGTCCTCCTACAGGGGGGTTTTGGGCGAAATGTTAAGACATGATCGAAAAATACTTTCAACATGTGCCCCAAAATGGTCAAAAGAGATCGTCCCCAGACTATTTTTTGCGTATTTTGGAAGATTCTTCATGCAGAGGGACAGGCACGACTTAAGGTTAGTTTTCCGCCACCCGTCCATTCTTGTTCGCCCGAAAGCGGCCTCTGGAGGCCGAAATGAAGGGAGAACACGCCGCGACAGAACAGTCACATGGTCGGAGACTTGGGCTTGCTTCATGGCGAACAGAAGGAGGATTGAGGGCAGGCAGGATGGATGCCCGGGGGAAGGAAAGGGGGCAAGGGATGTCCTGAAAACTTTGATTTTCGCCGATCGACCTGTGGGGATCAAGCCAGACAAATCAAGGTCAGCGCAGACACATCAACATGCATCCAAACAAATCCTGACAAGTAGGTCCAAATAAGTCCAAACGGAACTCTGGAGCAGCTCGTGCCCGCTCCGGCCAGCGCGCGAATGAAGGGACGGCAGAAGTCGTTGCACGTCGGTCGGAGGGAAGGGGTGTAAACATGAGATTGGAAGGCGTTGGAAGTAGATCGGGTCTCCTTCCACCCCCCCGAAGAGGAGGGCACGAATCGAGTCGACACTAAACCCGAGGAGAGGAGGAGGGGGAGGAGGAGGAGGGGGAGGAGGAGGAGGAGGAGGAGGAGGTTGGAGGAGAAGGCCGAGGAGAGCGATGAGAAGGCGGACAAAGTAGACTGGGATCTGGGAATGCCTGCTCCCATCGACGGCGAGCGAGGGGGTGGGAAGCGAGAAGGAGACGGCCTTCTCAGAATCTTCGGAAGTCCCCCCCGCCTTCTGAGAAGTCTTTTTCTGAGCATCCCCTGAAGACGACAGACCACTTCTCAGAAGGCGCGAGGGCTTCTGAGTCGTCCCGCCGCCTTCCGAGAAGGCCTTCTCCTTCTCCCTTCCCCCCCTCGCTCGCCGTGGACTCCAGTGGCCGGCGTGCAAGCCCTCAGCGAGCAGGGGAGCAGGGGCTCGAGGAGAGCGCGGAGGGCGGCCTGAAGAGCCCGAGGACCCGCTCCGCGTCGGTGCCGGCGGCTCCCCTGACGATCTCCTTCCACAGGTGGAAGCCGAACTTCCGCAGCTGCGCCGGCAGGGAGGGAGGGCGCCACGAATGATCGGGGAGACGCTACAGGCGGACTCGATTGGACAGGACACGCGAGAGGACACAAGACACGTCCGAGTGCCACATTGCCATTGGAAAGTAGGAGGCATGGGCCGCGAGGCACAGGACACGAAGGTACCATTGATCTGGCAGGGTGGTCGACCTACTAATCCGGGCCGACTGTAGAAGCCCCCCCCCCCCCCTGACCTGACGCCAGGGCCCCTCGCCTGACGCCGCCCCCGCCGGCAAGCAAGTAACCTGACGCCACCCCGCCACCGCTCGCCCGGCGCCATCCCCGGCGACATGTGGGGCCACGAATGATCGGGGAGACGCTAAGAGAGCTCCAAACAATATGCCCGTCGGTCGGAAGAAGTGGGCAGACACATGAAGCAGAAAGGCGTTGAGGGCGGAAGGATGCCACTCGACTCGTTGAGCAGGAATCCGAACTTCCGCACCTGCACCGCCAGGAAAGGAGGGCGGATTGAATGATCGGGGAGACGTTAGGATCGGCGGCGAGCGGGGGGGGGGACATGAGAAGGAGACGGCCTTCTCAGAAGGCGGCGGGGCTTCTCAGAAGCCGTCGCGCCCTCTGAGAAGTCTTTCTGTTTCTTCGGGGAAGGCTTAGGACGCTTCTCAGGCGGCCGGGGGGCTTCCAAACCTTCTGAGAATGCCTTCTCCTTCTCACTTCCCCCCTCGGGGATCAGTGCTATCGACCCTCGGATGGGAACTTCTGCGCGTCTGCTCCCATAATTACACAACGGGCCGAACTCGAAACTGAGGCCGGGGAACTCGGTCCAAGTGCCCGGAGGAGGAGGCTGCGGAGGCGGGGTGAATCCCACCAGCCCTTTAGGGCGTAGGTGGTCTGCGGCGCTTCCTCTTCGACCCCCCTTCTTCCCCTTCGGGGATGGGCTTGTCCTTGTTCCTTCTTGATAACAGCGACCCCGGCCCCCACTCGAGCGGCGACAAACTCGGAACCATGGCAGCCCCCCCCCCCAAACCATCCCCTGCAAGACGCAGCACGAAGCTCGCGCCCCACCTGGATCCTGTGCGGACGCCCCGCGACCACTTCGTGAGAGCTTTTGACAGGGACGGCGGGGGGAAACGGCACATTGCCTGCTGCTGTTTGGCGGCGAGCGGCGAGCGAGGGGGGGAGAAACGAGAAGGAGAAGGCCTTCTCAGAAGGCGGCGGGACTTCTCAGAAGCCCTCGCACCTTCTGAGAAGTTCTCGGTGCCTTCGGGGAGGGCTCAGAAAACCTCTCAGGAGGCCAGGGGACTTACGAACCTTCTGAGAAGGCCTTCTCCTTCTCGTTTCTCCCCCCTCGCTCGCCGCCGAGCCGTGTGCAGTGCCAACACCCCCCCACGAGGCCCTGGCAACCCGACACAATACAGAGTGCACTCTGCACCAACATCTGGATAGGGCGCAGGCGCTCCTCGATGCCTCTGCGCAGGAGGCTCTGGACAGGGGCGGCGGGGGGGCCGGCAGATGGCCTGCTTGTGCGTGTGTGTGTGTGTGTGTGTGTGTGTGTGTGTGTGTGCAGTGCCAACAGCCCCCCCCCGCCATCCCCTGGCAGCCCAGAACAATACAGAGTGCGTGCACTTTTCACCAGCATCCTGGATCATGCGCGGGCGCCCGGCGATCACTTTGCGCAAGCGTTTGACGGGGACGGCGGGGGAGGGGAGCGCATGTTGCCTGCTGTCGCAATGTCAGCCCCCCCCCACCGTCTCGTGGAAAAACAATGCGAAGCGCACCCAGCACCCGACCCTGGATCATGCGCGGGCGCCCTGCGATCACTCTGCATGGGCTTTTGCAAGACACGGTGGGGGTGGCGAACAATGCTAAATGTCCAGCCCAGCATCCCTTTCAGGCAAGCATGCAAAAAGCACTTTGCCAGGGCTGGGGGGGCATATCGCCTGCTGCACAGGCCCACCATCCCTGTCAAAAAGAAGGCCAATGTGTGTTTGCGGGTGCACACACGCAATTCACAGTGCTGGCTACTCCGCCGCCACTTGCATGTTTTGTTGTTGGGGGGGGGGGTGCGACATATTGCCTATGGCGCACTTGGAGCGCGTGGCGCACCTGGCACGTGCGGCGCACCTCGCGGGTGTCGCGCAACTGGCTGGCGTCTGCAGTGGCTCCTGATGGTTGTCGATGGCGGCCCCAGCCTATGCTGAGACCCAGGTGTTACCTATGCAGTGGGAGGGCGGGTGGGAGTGAGCGAGGCAGCTTGCGGCGCTCAGTGCCCTTACATTCTGTGCTTCCGACGGGACTCATGAACTCAATGGGATCGAGGCCCCAAGCTTGGATGCTGCCTATGTGGTGGGAAGGCGGATGGGAGTGAACGACACGGGTTGCGGCTTGAGGTAGCTTGGCAACTGTTCCCTAATAGTAATAAACACGCCCTCCCTCACCCGACCGTCAGCCAGCCCCCCCCACCATCCATGCCACAAAACAACACAACATACACTTTGCCTCGGAACATGCGCGCGCGCGCCCCGCGACCGCTTTGTGCATCGGTGTTTGGACGAGGACGGCGGGGGTGCCCTCGTACTGCTTGCTGCGCGCGGGCCAGCTGTCCCTGCCGAACAGCAGAACAGCACACACTTCGACTCGACGTCTGGATCGGATCCTGCGCGGGCGCCCCGCGCGGCGCACGCGGCGCACGCGGACCACGCGCCGCACGTGGCGCACGTGGCGCGCCTGGGCCTCCAGGGTGCCCGGTGCACCTCTGGAGCCCGTGGCGCGCATGGCATGCGTGGCGCTCCTGGGCGGTGTGCGGAGGCTCGGGTGCTACTTCTGTGCTGGGAGGGCGGGCGGGAGTGAGCGAGGCGGCTTGTGCCCTCGTGGGCAGGAGGTGTCTTGATCCCGCTCGTTACCCCCCTCCCATGGGTCTGGACGGGGGGGCGGCGGGGCGTTAGAGCGTCCAAGAAGGCACCAGCGAGACGGCACACATCATTCATGTTCCCAAGCCCTGGGCCCATTTTGGCCTCCTGGAGGAGCGATGCTAATTAAGCCATCCTTCAATGATCGATCGCCTCGAGGTTGGCTCTGAATACGGCCGAGACGCTCCCATGAGAGCTCCCAGTGCCCCAAGAGGCGCCCAAGAGGCCCCCAAGCGGCCCCCAAGCGACCCCCCAAAGGCCACAGGATGCCCCGAACACGTCTCAAGAGGCTCTGAAAACCGCCAAGAGGCCCCCACGGCGTCCCACGAGGACTCCAAGAGGCTCCCGAGGCGCCCCAGCATGCCCCGAAGAGCTGCCAGGAGGTGCCCACGAGGCCTCCAAGGGACGCCGAATCATCCCAAGAAGCTCAGACCTCTCCAGAGGATGCCGCGCTGCCCCGATGAAGGGCAGCTCCCTTGGGCATCGTTCCTGAATTGGCTGGTGGGGGTACGCGAAGTGTTAAGTCGGGCCTGTCCCCCTACAGGGGGATTGTCGACGTAAAATAAAGAATACCCCAAAATAGTCAAAAGATAATTCAAAAATAGTCTGGGGACTATTTTTTGAGTATTTTTTTTACCTTCCAGGGATATTTTTTTGGTATTTTCTATTTTTCGTCGAAAATCCCCCTGTAGGGGAACACGCCCGACATAAGCGAAGTGTTACGAATACCATTTTTGGTAGATGGGGAGGAAGAGCTGAGCAAGGACCGCGGCCTCTTCTGGACCTCGCCCGTGCCCAGCTGCGCGATGAGCGCCAAGAGGGGGAAACATGCGTGGGGACCTCGGGGTACTCGACCCCCTCTCAGAAGCGAGGTGCACCTTGGCCCCGAATGTTGGCTCCACTAGAGATGTCGCTCAAGGGCTCCGCCACATGATTCCCACAATACCACTGCTGCCGAATTGCGACCACTGTGCAAGCCCGCTCTTGCCCTTGCGGCATAACGTAGGCCTCATGCTTGTGCCTTGTCCCCAGTCCACTCCAGAGAACAAGGTGCTGGAGAGCCTGCGAGTGAAGGAGTTTCAAGGACGGAGTGAGGACCAGAGCGAAGACATGATGATCACAACCTGCGTAGGATAATACTACCTTTCTGAGGTCCACGCTGACCCCTGCACATTTATGCTTCTGCCAATTTTATTCTTCGAAGGATGCCGAATCGGGTATCTACTGACCCGGGTCAATCCAGACCCGGGTCAGCCAGACCCGGGTCAGCCAGGCCTTGCCAGATCGTGCAAGATCCTGCAGGACCCTGCACCTAAGCCCGGGTCAATGCGACCCCGGCCCTGCAGGATCCTGCAAACTCCAGCACTCTGACTGACCTCCGTTTGAATTGACCCCCGTCTCTTGAGCCCCGAGCGAAGACGCGAACGCTGACGCCGGCGACGACACCGAAGGGCGACGCGCCTCCAGGTCGTCCGGCTTGGTGGCCCCGTCGAGCCCGCTGGGCAAGACGGCGCAGATGGCCGCGCGCCACTTGCGGCCCCACCGGCAGGCCCGGACGCCTCTGGGGTCGCGGCCGGAGGACGGGGAGGAAGGGGGGCGGGCGGATGATGAGAGAGGAAGGGAGGATGGGGGGAGGGAAGGAGGGAGGGAGGGAGGGAGGGAGGGAGGGAGGGAGGGAGGGAGGGAGGGAGGAGGAGGAGAGGAGGAGGAGGAGGAGGAGGAGGAGGAGGAGGAGGAGAAGGAGGAGGAGGAAGAGGAGGAGGAGGAGGGGGAGGAGGAGTGGAGGGAGGAGGAGGGGGAGGAGGAGGGAAGGGAGGATGAGGGAAGCGCGAGGGCGAGGGCGAGGGAGAGGGACAGGGAGGAGGAGGAGGAGGAGGAGGAGGAGGAGGAGGAGGAGGAGGAGGAGGAGGAGGAGGAGGAGGAGTAATTCTAATTCTAATTCTATCTGAAGCGTCATCCTCCTCTAGGGAGGTCGCTTAAACACCAACTCGCACATCAGGGAAACGGGTGCCCGACTTCGGGGGAAGCCCGCGGGAGATCCTCGACAAAACCTCCTTCCCAGTGGACGAGGGCCGATCACAAGCCCTGCTCAGAATGCGAGGGGGGTTCACTGTGCAAAAACCACCACATACCTCGCAAAACAAAACCCCTCGAAACACGGCCAACCGATGCGTGGGCGAATAAAACTCCGACATTGGGTGGTCCAGGGGTGTTCCACACCCCTGAACAGCAGCCAGATCATCAGGCGGCGGATCTTCCACCCCTGAGGCCTGGGCGACGCGAGGAGGAAGACACTGAATCCGCTGCTGCAGTTCACAGCGAGGCTTGCAGGGATCAGGCCAAAAATCCGCCAGCTTGCCTTTCAAAGGGAAGCCCCGCGCACATCGAGAACACTTGAGAGACGCCGAACGCACCTCAGGAGAGTGACCACTATCGCGCAAGCGACACAACCTCTCAGCGCAACTGGTCTGCTGTCCGCGCTGCCGCCTAGGAACCCGTTCCGAAGTCTCACGACCTCCCGAGAAAAACACCTCACGCTGGACCGCCAACAACCGCGACAAAACATCAAACGCAAGTTTGTCGGCCCGACGGGTTCGGTCAACAAAATCCTCGGGGATCTGGGCCCTGTCAGCAGCAGCATCGGCAAAGAAATCAGCAGCCTTGTTCAAATACACTTCTACATCACTCATGAACATATTTTGGCGTTGGTCCTGGGTCGAATGCGATTTCGTCCACAACACTTGGATAGATCCCCCTCTAGCGAACATAACATCATGAAATTGCACCCAAAGATCCAGCATCGAAGACCCACGTTTGTCACACAAGGGGCGACGTGACCCTTGAACTACCCGCAAATAATCACAGTACACACGACAATGCCCCGTAGTACGACGTGCCAGCATAATGAGAGCAAACAACTCCGCACGAGGAGAGGACTGCTTCTTGGTAGGGAGGGTGCCCATGAGGAGGGAGTCGAAGAGGCCAGATGAACCCAAGTGGACACACGCCCAGCCACAGCGGCGAAGCCGCCAGTCCTTAGTGAACTTCCCCCCAGATCCATCTATTCCCCACACTCCGAGGAGGAGGAGGAGGAGGAGGAGGAGGAGGAGGAGGAGGAAGGTTTATAGGGTACCTAAACCCATCTTTAAGGCTTTGGCAGCTGTTGCCAAAATCTTGAATTTTATTGGATGGCAGAAGCCTGGAGCCAGAGGCTGGGGAGGGGGTAGGCCCGCGGTGTAGCCTTTTGTCTGGCCCGAGTCCAGGGGCAAGGAGGGAAAAATGCCTCTGTTCCGGGTTTCGGCGGTCGTGTCCCGACTGCGGGGGTCTCTTAGGGCCAGAGGGGAAACAACCCTAACGACCCCCCGACCTGTGGGGCAGCCCGTGTCCCATCCCCCTCCCCTTCCTCCCCCCCTTGTGCCAGGAGGGAAAGGTTGATGGGGATAGGCCGAGCTGGCCAGGCGCCTCGGCGGCGCAGCTCCGAAGCAAAATTGGGGCCCTCGTGTAGCCACACTCGGTGCGGATGCCCCGACGGAGGTCCAATCAGGAACTACCCTAACAAGCCCCCTCCATGGACTGTGGGGCAGCGCCCCTGGTCCAGGCGCCTCGGCAGCGCCCTCCGCGCCAGAAGAATGGGCCCTCGTGGAACCACTCTTTGCGTGGATAATCCCGACCGGGGCGTCTCTTAGGACCAAGGGGAACAGCCCTGACGACCCCCCTGCCCTTCCGGTTACAGGAAGAGTCAAGGCGCTTCACGAGGGCGGACGGGAGGAGGAAGCTCCACCAAAGGCATCTTAGAAGGCAAAGGGCAGGGGGGCCGGAAGCACGCTGCTCGGAATAACGTGTGTGGCAACACCCTTGTTTTGCCGGTTGCCTGCTGTACGCCATCGCCCCCGCAACTTGAAACAAGTTCCACTCGCGAGCGCATGCTGGAAATGTGTGCGATGTATTTTCTCCACTGACCTACTCATATACATCAACACCGACTCATATGTTTGACACACTCGAAACGGACAGCTCCGACTGGGGGGTCTCTTAGGGCCAAAGGGGAACAGCCCGAACGACCCCCCCATGATCTGTTGGGCAGCGCCCCTGGTCCAGGAGCCTCGGCGGCGGCCTCCACAACAGAAGATTGGCCCCTCGTGGAGCCAGCACTCGGAGCAGACAGCTCCGACTGGGGGGTCTCTTAGGGCCAACGGGGAACAGCCCTAACGACCCAGCCATGACCTGTGGGGCAGCGCCCCTGGTCCAGGCGCCTCGGCGGCGGCGGCCTCATGGACAGAAGATTGGCCCCTCGTGGAGCCACACTCGAAGCGGACAGCTCCGACTGGGGGGTCTCTTAGGGCCAACGGGGAACAGCCCTAACGACCCAGCCATGACCTGTGGGGTAGCGCCCCTGGTCCAGGCGCCTCGGCGGCGGCGGCCTCATGGACAGAAGATTGGCCCCTCGTGGAGCCACACTCGAAGCGGACAGTCTCGACTGGGGGGTCTCTTAGGGCCAAAAGAGAACAGCCCTAACGACCCAGCCATGACCTGTGGGGCAGCGCCCCTGGTCCAGGCGCCTCGGCGGCGGCCTCATGGACAGACGATTGGCCCCTCGTGGAGCCACACTCGAAGCGGACAGCTCCGACTGGGGGGTCTCTTAGGGCCAACGGGGAACAGCCCGAACGACCCCCCCATGATCTGTTGGGCAGCGCCCCTGGTCCAGGAGCCTCGGCGGCGGCCTCCACAACAGAAGATTGGCCCCTCGTGGAGCCAGCACTCGGAGCAGACAGCTCCGACTGGGGGGTCTCTTAGGGCCAACGGGGAACAGCCCTAACGACCCAGCCATGACCTGTGGGGCAGCGCCCCTGGTCCAGGCGCCTCGGCGGCGGCGGCCTCATGGACAGAAGATTGGCCCCTCGTGGAGCCACACTCGAAGCGGACAGCTCCGACTGGGGGGTCTCTTAGGGCCAACGGGGAACAGCCCGAACGACCCCCCCATGATCTGTTGGGCAGCGCCCCTGGTCCAGGAGCCTCGGCGGCGGCCTCCACAACAGAAGATTGGCCCCTCGTGGAGCCAGCACTCGGAGCAGACAGCTCCGACTGGGGGGTCTCTTAGGGCCAAAAGGGAACAGCCCTAACGACCCCCCCATGACCTGTGGGGCAGCGCCCCTGGTCCAGGCGCCTCGGCGGCGGCCTCATGGACAGAAAATTGGCCCCTCGTGGAGCCACACTCGAAACGGACAGCTCCGACTGGGGGGTCTCTTAGGGCCAACGGGGAACAGCCCTAACGACCCCCCCCCTGACCTGTTGGTCCAAGCGCCTCGGCGGCGGCGGCCTCCGCAACAGAAAATTGGCCCCTCGTGGGGCCACACTCGAAACGGACAGCTCCGACTGGGGGGCTCTTAGGGCCAACGGGGAACAGCCCTAACGACCCCCCCATGACCTGTGGGGCAGCGCCCCTGGTCCAGGCGCCTCGGCGGCGCCTCTCACGAGCAGAAGCTTGGCTGGAGGCACGCTCGGGCCGGACAGCTCCGACTGGGGGGCCTCTGAAGGCCAGAATGGAACAGCCCTAGCGGCCCCCCCATGACCTGTGGGGCCGCGCCCCTGGTCCAGGCGCCTCGGCGGCGGCCTCCGCAACAGAAAATTGGCCCCTCGTGGAACCACACTCGGAGCGGACAGCCCCGACCGGGGGAGAAAAAGGAGGAGGAGGAGGAGGAGGAGGAGGAGGAGGGGGGAGGAGGAAGGAGGAGGAGGAGGAGGAGGAGACGGAGGGCAGGAAGGGGAGGAAGAGGAGGATGAAGAGGAGGAGGAAGAGGAGGAGGAGGACGAGGAGGAAGAGGAGGAGGAGGAGGAGGAGGAGGAGGAGGAGGAGGCGGAGGAGGAGGAGGAGGAGGAGGAGGAAGATGAGGAGGAGGGACGAGGAGGAGGCGGAGGAGAAGGAGGAGGAGGAGGAAGAGGAGGAGGCGGGAAGAGGAGGGGGAGAGGGGGAGGAGGAGGAGGACGAGGAGGAGGGGAGGAGAGGAGGAGGAGGAGAATGAGGGGAAAGCGAGGAGGAGGGAAGGAGAGGAGGATGAGGAGGAGGAGGAGGAGGAGGAGGAAGAGGCAGGAGGAGGAGGAGGCGGAGCGGAGGTGAGGAGGAGGAGGAGGAGGAGGAGGGAGGAGGAGGAAGAGGAGGAGGAGGAGGAGGAGGAGGAGGAGAGGAGGAGGAGGAGGAGGAGGAGGAGGAGGAGGAGGAGGAGGAGGAGGAGGAGGAGGAGGAGGAGGAGGAGGAGGAGGAGGAGGAGGAGCACGTGGAGCAGGAGGAGGCGGAGGAGGAGGCGGAGGAGGAGGAGGAAGACAGCGAACCTCAGAACCGAACCGCGAACCACATAACCGAACCGACCGAGGGAGAACCGACGAGACCGGAACCCGTCAGAAACACGACGTGAACCGAAACCAAACCGAACCGGAGGCAGTGGATCCGAACCGGGAACTGGTCGTGGAGGTGGGCCCCTGGGAACTGCCCGATGCGAACGCCCACTCTTGCGCTAAGTCCATCCCACCCGCTCCCCACTCCTCCCCTGCGCCCCCGAGCCCCCTCGTCCTGTTTCGCCGCTTGTCCAGGGCCGAACTGGGGGCGAAAGGGCGGCGGAAAAGCTCAAATAGCATTTTTGGACGGTTCGAAAATGCGTTTCGTGCCTCCAGGTGGTTTTCGGAGCCTCCAAGGCTGCTCTGGGGATGGCAGGGCGCCGGAAAAGCTCGAATCGCATTTTTGGACGGTTCGAAAATGCGTTTTGGGCCTCCAGGTGGTTTTCGGAGCCTCCAGGGCTGCGCTGGGGACGGAAGGGCGGCGGAAGAGTTCAAATCGCATTTTTGGACGGTTCGAAAATTCGCTCTGGGCTTCCACGGGTCCTCGGGGCCTCCAGGGCCGGGGCCCCCACCATCCTGCGCGCGCCCGGCGAGGGCGCGGGCGGGGCCCTTGCCTTCCCAGTTGTCCTTTGGGATGACCCATACCAAGGGTGAGTGGTACGTGCTGTCCCAGACCGTAGTCCAAGCGTCTTCTATCCTGGCGCTGAGGAATCGCCCGCTGTCGCCAGAGCCCCCTGGTCCAGGGGGCACGATGCTGTCGACGGGTCCGTCGAGGGCACCATGCGGAACGTCTGGGCCCAGTGGCTCACCTGGCTCGTCGGGTAGCTGGGCCCAGTGGCTCCCCTGGCCCCAGGGTTCCTCCTGACTCCTGGTTGAACTGAACCTCCAAACGCCTCCATCTGATCATGTAGTCGCACACGCGCACACGTCATCTGCAAGAACCGAGAACCGAAATGGAACCGGCTGAAACGGAACCACCCTCTGAATGGGAACCGCCTCAAACAGCTCCGAAACTGGAACCGTATTGTTAGTCGGGCCTGTCCCCCGAAAAATTCAAACATATTTCAAAAATACCCCCAGATGGTCAAACAATGATCAACACATAATCCCCAGACTATTTCCGGATTCTTTTTTTGATATTTTGGGGTATTTTTTATTTTTCCTCGAAAATCCCCCTGAAGGGGGACAGGCCCGACTTCACCGTATTGAGCCAAACCACTTTTCCCCGAACCGAAACGAACCGAACGGAACCAGGGACACGCTGGGAGGAGGAGGAGGAGGAGGAGGAGGAGGAGGAGGAGGAGGAGGAGGAGGAGGAGAGGAGGAGAGGAAGGAGGAGGAGAAGGAGGAGGAGGAGCAGCAGGGGAGGAGGAGGAGGAGGAGGAGGAGGAGGAGGAGAGGAGGAGGAGGAGGAGGAGGAGGAGGAGGAGGAGGAGGAGGAGGAGGAGGAGGAGGAGGCGGAGGAGGAGGAGGAGGAGGAGGAGGAGAGGAGGAGAGGGAGGAGGAGGAGGAGGAGGAGGAGGGGGAGGGAGGGAAGGAGGGAGGGAGGAGGGAGAGGGGAGGGAGGAGGAGGGGGAAGGAAGGAGGAGGAAGGGATTTCCAAGGGGACTCCCGCCAGCGAGGGTCTCGTTCAGACCAGCCCCTCCCCTTACGTGCCTCCTCCACCAACATGCGAGTGCTGCGGCAGAGTGGCGGCCTCTCCCCTGAATGCTGGCGTGCCGATGCACGGTGCAAACCGATCCGACGCACGCTCCGATCCGGGCCGATTTGCCGACTCGCTTTTGATTGATCCTGGGAGGAGCAGGAGGAAGGAGGGGGAACGAAGATGAGGATGATAATGCTGATGCTGATGCTAATGCTAATGATGATGGTGATGACGAGGAGGAGGAGGAGGAGGAGGAGGAGGAGGAGGAGGAGGAGGAGGAGGAGGAGTGACGGAGGAGGAGGAGGAGGAGGAGGAGGAGGAGGAGGAGGAGGAGGAGGAGGAGGAGGAGGAGGAATTGGAGGAGTTGGAGGAGGAGGATGAGGAGTACAAGACGCTCTGGGGCCCCACCGGCAGGCTCCGACGCCTCTGGGGACGCGGCCGGAGAAAGGGGAGGAAGGGGGCGGGCGGATGATGGGAGAGGGAGGGAGGAGGAGGAGGGAAGGGATGATGATGAAGAGGAGGAGGAGGAGGAGGAGGAGGAGGAGGAGAGGAAGATGAGGAGGAGGAAGGAGGAGGAGGAGGAGGAGGAGGCGGAGGAGGAAGAGGAGAAGGATGCCCGCCGGCAGGCCCGGACGCCTATTGGGCCGCGGCCGGAGGAAGGGGGCGGGCGGATGAATGGAGAGGGGGGGGAGGGGGAGGGGAGGAGGGGGAGGGGAGGGGGAGTGGTGAGGGGTGAGGGGGAGGAGAAGGAGAAGGATGAGGAGGAAGAGGGGAAGGAGGAGGAGGCGGAGGAGGAGGATGAGAAGGAGGGAGGAGGAAGGAGGAGAAGGAAGAGGAGTAGGAGGAGGGCAAGGCGAAGGAGGGAGGTGGGAGGAGGGATGAGGGAGAGCAGAGGTGCGCGAGGGGGGTGCCCTCCAAGAAGCCAGGGGGGAGGCCTTCCAAGAACTCCTGCCCTGCCCTTTTAGAAGGTCAACAAGCGCGAGCCCCCTCCTTCGGCGGCGATCCCAGGGGGAAGTGAGAAGGAGAAGGCCTTCTCAGAAGGCTCGAACATCTCCCAACCTTCTGAGACATGTTCTGAGCCCTCCCCGAGGACACGGAAAACTTCTCAAAGGCCCGAGGCCTTCTGAAAAGTCCCGCCGCCTTCTGAGGAGGCCTTCTCCTTCTCATTTTCCCCTCGATTGCCGCCGACTTCTGCGCTGCTGAAACTACTCTACGAGAGGCTGTTGAATACTGCGGCGATGGTGCGGTTTGCTGTGGCAACTGGTGCTACAGACGATTTGTGCAGTGTGGCTAGAGAACGAGTCTGGTGTCCATGCACAGCCCGAACAATTCAGACACCAATGTCGAAAACATGAGTAAGTCCGTCCGTGATCTTCACCTGCCACACTCCATTCCCATCGGGGGACGCACATTACGTGAGACGTGCTGGACACACGTATTATGCGAAACGTGCTGGACGGAAGCCAACCCGATGCATGACGCACTTGCGCTCGTGATTTTGCAGAACAAGCTGAGTAAATACATTCTCTCCTCCTAATGCGGCCGAAGAGAAAGAAACACAACCTGTGGTTGGGTGCTCTTCGATCGCTCTCTTCCGCTTCAGTTTCTCCTCGCGTAGTCTGGTCTTGCTGTTGACCTTCGGGGCGTTGGGGTCGTCGCTGGTGGTCCAGCGATTCTCCTGAATGGTGCTTCTGCAAACAAGCAAGCCTTTCCAATATGTAATCCCTGCTCCCGATCACGACTACCTCCATCGACGCGGACACGTGCAGAACGCGTCTTGTTTACAATTGGGAGAGTGCAGCACTATCCAGGTGACTACGGTCCAACACAAGGATAAAGGCACATCCTACAATAAGCTACGACTTCGCATTGCGAATGACATCCTTGCGCCAGACTACCCCAAACAGCTTTCCGCAGGGGCCCAGCAGTCAACCTGATGGCCCTTACTACTACTTCTTCTACTTCTACTCCTATTCATACTCCTGTTTTCCTTTCTACTTTTACTAGGATTACTATTTTGACTACGACGATTAAAACTACTACGGCTACAATTCTTGTATTGTTCTTGCTATTGCTCGTGTTCTTACTACTACTACTACTACTACGCCTACTACTACTACTACAACTCCGACTCCGACTCCGACGACTACGACTACGACTACGACTACGGCTACGACTACGTCTTCTACAACTACTACTACTACGACTCCTATTTCTACTGCCGCTACTACTGCTGCTACTACGACTACTGCTACTACTGCTACGGCTGCTGCTACTGCTTCTACTTCTACTACGACTACTACGACTACTACGACTACTACGACTACCACGACTACTTCGACTTCTACTACGACGACGACGACGACGACTACTACTACTACGACTACTACTACGACTACCACTACTACTACTACTACTACTACTACTACTACTACTACTACTACTACTACTACTACTACTACTCCTACTGCTGCTGCTACTGCTACTGCTACTGCTACTGCTACTGCTACTGCTACTGCTACTGCTACTGCTACTGCTACTACTACTACTACTACTACTTCTACTACTACTACTACTACACCTATTACGACGACGACGGGTACTACTACTATAACAACAACTACTACTACTACTACTACTACTACTACGACTACTACTACTACTAGCATTATTACGTACGGTCAATACCACTATTACGGCTGGCGATCACTAGTGCTACGGTTATTACCAATACTAAGTCGTAGGCAGGTCTGTTGTTGCCACCACTACTACTACTACTACTACTACTACTACTACTACTACTACTACTACTACTACTACGATTACTACGACTACTACGACGACGACTACTACTACTACTGCTACTACTACTACTACTACTACTGCTACTAATACTACTACTACTATTACTACTACTACTACTGCTGCTGCTACTACTACTACTACTACTACTAATACGACTACTACTACTACTAGTACTACTACTACTACCACTACTACTACTACTACTACTGCTACTACTACTACTACTACTACTACTACTACTACTACTACTACTACTACTACTGTTGCGACACGTACTGGTACGACTACTACTCGTAGTAGCACTAGTACTACGCCTGCCACTGGTGCCGCGCGCACTGCTAGTGCTACTACTCGTGCTTCTACTAATGCGGCTTCGAATGTGGATGCGCGTGCTGGTGCTGCTGCTACTACTACGGAACATGATGCTGCAACGAATGCTGGCTAGCATGGTGACGTTTGCGACTGCTACTACTCGTGAGCAATGCTGCAACTACTGCTGCTGCTTGTACGGAGGAGGAGGGGCAGGAGGAGAGAAGGAGGAGGAGGAGGAGGAGGAGGAGGAGGAGGAGGAGGAGGAGTACAACACGCTCCCAGCGCATGAATGTCCATATCGAGCATACGCCACGTAAACAATACATCACTTACACTAAACAGAATGCGTACGCACACCCTGCGCTCCTCCCGCCCGCCCGCCAAGCACACACCCCGCACGCACACCTTTCACCCCCCCCCGCCCGCCCGCCAGGCACACGCCCCGTACGCACACCGTGCACCTCCTCCCCCCGCCCCCCTGGCACACACCCTGTACACGCCCGTGCACACACGCGCACACACGCACACAGCCGCACACATAGGCACACACATGCACATGTACATACGCACACACAGGCATAAGCCATGCGCAATACCTGACCAACTCAACCAAATGCAACCACTAAACACGACCTACCAATGGCGACCATCTGAACACTTCGGGGAACCTGGCGACTGCATACATGTGCACGCATGCGCGTCGGTTGCAAATCCATACGCGCGTGCGCACGCAAACTCAGAGAAGCAACGCTTCCCCTTCTGGTCCGGAAAGGTGCTACTCAGACCTACAGGTACTCATGCTTTTACTCTCACGATTGCTAACACCGATGTGACTACCTATGCGACTACGACTGCTAGGCCTAATACTAATTCTGATGCCATGCACTGGGAGGCAACGGAAGGCCACACTGCCCCACATATTCCAGACCCAGCGACCCACCAAATGATTTCTCAGAAAAGAGATCTAGAACCCTTGCAGACAAGCTGTCCAGGGGACCTCGCACAATCAACATTTTCATTTGAAGAGAAATCCGCCACCGTGCTGCAAGCACTGAGCGGAGCCTCCTCAAGTCCCCTGAGTCGAGCCTTGGCGCCCTCGGGCGCTACTGATTCCTCTGCATAGCTGTTCCTCCCAAGGCGCGTGGTTGGAGGCTTCCGCGTCGAATATGCCCTGTGATGGTCCCAGATGTTCGTGAAGGAGCCCTCTTGTGGGCCCTCTTGGACTGTCTTGGAGGCCCTGGGGATCAGCCCACGAGGCCACGCTCACTGTGAGTTGTGTGTCTGCCTTGCGGCCTTGAGAGCACAGAGGACCCTCGGCATCAGGCCCTCAAGAGGGGCCTGCGAGGCCACAAGGAGGGGGAATCCGAACTGATGTTTGGAAGTCTCCAGCTCAAGATGGCCCCCCAGACCGCCAGCAGGCCCCCAGGAATCGCCCGATATCGGAGGCGCGCGAAAATGGATTAGCGATCCATGGATTTGGCGCGCGGTCGCCAAATCCATGGGTCGGGGGAGGTGCCCTCCCCAAAGAGCGGCCCGTGCCGCCTCGCTCGGCGGCGGAAACCCGCGATTTCCCATGGAAACGGGACCCGTCGCGAATCCACGCCCCCTTGATCCATGCTCGCGATCGCCTGACAGTAGGCCCCCAGCGCCCAGGAGGTCCCAAGAGACTTCCGAGAGGCCTCCGCGAGGCCTCCGCGAAGCTTCGCAGGAGACCGCGCGAGGCCTCTCGGAGGCCTCGTGTCCTCGGCCCGGGCACGGCGGCAGGCTCGACAGGCAGCACATATTCCCAACAGAGGCTGGCTTTTGGTCCAAGTCAGGTCAGTATTGTCCAGGACCCCAAGGAGGCGCCGAAGGAATGCAGTCATCGTGCTCCCACAAGGGACACTCTACAGATGACGAAGAAGTGTCTCCTCTGGTCGCAGCGAGTCTTGGTCACGGCCTTCCCTCCCTCCCTCCACATCCCTCTCTCCCTCCCCCCCCAACCGATCTAAACTCCTGGGACCCATTCTGAGGCAAGATTCCGGAGCGAATCCGACCGTTGCGACGAGGGACGAGCGACGATGCGTGCTATCGGTCATCCCCGGGATGCTCTCCGCGAGGTGCAGCTGCCGCAAAGCATGCTGAGGGTGGAACACCGCGGAGAACCGACGAAAACGTCTGGAGACCTTCCCTGCCATCCGCAGATGTTTTTTTTTCAATCCGTGGCCCACCGCTTCTTCGGGGGTAGGTTTTCGTCCTGTATCCAACTTTGACGGACGGGCCCCAAAGGCCGAAATCGAAGAAAACACGTGGGATTCAAAACATTATATCGTCGGATATCCGGGCTTCGCCCGACCCGGTCTTCGGCCAGGCCCGAGCTGCCACTTCATCTGAACTTTGTCGCATGGCGAGCCCAGGTCTAGAGTCCTCCCAGATGGGGTCGGAGGACCGCGCCGCATCGCCGATGCATCACTCATACATCGGCGATGCGTCCACGACGTCGGCGACGCATCCGCGACGTCGGCGTGGAGAAAATCGGGCTCCACATCGAGCCGAAGAATGACATAAATGAAAGCTCGGGGATCCGCGCGGATTTCTCGGATCGGCGCTGGACCCCCCTCCCTGGCGCGCGGAGCGCGCCAGGGGTGGCGCCGCAGGCGCCGCCAGGGGGTCCAGCGCGGACCTCCAAGTTTTAATGCTTATGTCATTGTTCGTTCCCCTATTCCCGTCGGCCGGGCCCGACCGTGAACGTTTGCTGATTCGGCGTCTCGACGTTGGGCGGAAGGGGGGAGTCTGGCTCTGGACCTCTGCTTACCGCGACTGCTTGCAGCAGCGTGTCCTGTGGGGAGGGGCTCCGCCTGTTCGAAACAGGCGCCCCAAACAGCCAAGATCTACTCCGTGGGGGGGTGAGGGGGGCGTGCGAGGGCCCGCGCCTGTCGGCAAAACAAAGCATAAAACAACGATCACAACTTCCATCTCGCCCGACCTTTGCGCCTCTAGGCGAGCCCGGGTCTCCCAGGCGATGTCGCGCTGCCGGTCCGCCGCGAACTCGATCTCCGCACGGACGCCGCCGCGGGGGCGGACGTCCTCCGCGACACCCCCAGGGGGTTCCTCCTCTTCTTCCTCCTGCTGGTGCTGTTCCTCCTCGTCCTCCTCCTCCTCCTCCTCCTGCTTTTTTCATCCTATGTCCTCTCTCCCCTCTTCCTCCTCCTCCTCCTCCTCCTTCGCCTCCTTCTCCTTGTCGCCCTCCTCCTCCTCCTCGCCTTCCTCCTTCCCTGACGCACTCTCATGTGATAAACTCACTGCGGATAATGTTTGCAAATTCTCGGACTCTGGAAGCCCTCACCGGGCCCCGGGACCGTCAAGCAACGACGCAGGATGAGACATCGGTCCCGAGGAAGCGGTCCAGACCTCTGGGGAGCCACGTGTGGGAACCTGTGGGGTCCAGACCTCTGGGGAGCCTCTGGGGTCCTTCCCGGGGATGGATCCTGGATATCAAGGAGGTGTGCGTGTGTGTGAGAGAGAAAAAGAGCGTGTGTGTGTGTGTGTGTGTGTGTGTACGTGTGTGTGTGTGTGTGTGTGTGTGTGTACGTGTGTGTGTGTGTGTGTGTGTGTGTGTGCGTGCGTGCGCGTGTGGTGTGGTGTGTGTGTGTGTGTGTGTGTGTGTGTGTGTGTGTGTGTGCGTGCGTGCGTGCGTGCGTGGGCGGGTGGGTGGGCGGGTGGGTGGGCGGATGGGTGGGTGGGTGGGTGGGTGGGTGCGTGGGTGCGTGCGTGCGTGCGTGCGTGCGTGCGTGCGTGCGGGTGGGTGGGTGGGTGGGTGCGTGCGCGTGTGTGTCTGTCTGTGTGTGTTGGTGTGTCTGTGTGTGTGTGTGTGTGTCTGTGCGCGGCCACAGGCCCACGTTGCACTTTGTCCACGCCGTGCGATCTTGCCACACTTCGGGCCCCCGGGGCCCTAACGGATCGAGAAGGCTCGACACTTTTCCGTCGGCAGCGAGGCGGGGCAATCCGCTCCAGCGTAGCAGCGATGCAGGGGCACTACAAAGCGAACTGGCTGGCATGCAGGAGGAGGGAAAAAGAAGGGCAGGGCGGCCGCGGGGGGGGAGGGCGAGCACTCAAATGCGGACGACTTCCGCCATGAGCAACCGGGGCGGCCCGCGGGCGGCGGGGACGGCGTCCGGGGGGCCAGACGGCGAGAAGGCTGGACACATGCAGCAGAAAGATTGTGCTGGCGGGCTCGTTGCGTCTTTGCGGTGCTTGGCTTTTGCTCGCGACGGCGGACGTCATGGACTACCGTAGTCTTAGATGGGCATGTCCTCCTACAGGCGGATTTTGGATGAAAACTAGCAAACAATCAAACCAGAATCGAAAATTGTCAAAATGAGTCAAACCATCGTCCCCGAACTATGCATCCCCAGACTGTTTCCGAATCTTCCTCCTGTAGAGGGACATGCCCGACTGAACCGTAGTCGTGATGGGCAACGCGGGGCCGCTGCCCGAGGGGGCGGCGCTTTCCCTGGCAACCGCTGGGCAGAACGGTGGATCCATGCAGCGTGAAACAGCGCATGTGGTAATGCCGAGGCTTCGGGCTGCGCGCCGACAGTCCCCCCAGGTAATCCTGGTTGGCCTCAACAAGCCCCCCCGAGTAGTCCAGGCCGGCCAAAACACGCCCCCTGAGTAGTCCAGGGTGATCTCAACACCCCGGCGCCGCCTCGGGCAGCGCCCCTGGGGTGCTCCGCGCGCCAAGGTTAGGGCCTCTTGAGGGAGGCTGTCTGTGCGCAGCCCGGAGCCTTACCATGGTGACACTGGGCGAATCAAGGGGGGATGGGGATCTTCGGCCCAACTTCTCTCGTGTCCAGAGCCAGCGCATTCCGGCAGAGCCTTTCCAGAACGCGCTGGACGCACCGCAGTCAAGGATACCTTCCTTCCTCCCCCCTTTTCGCTCTTGCGCGAGCGTGCTGGCAAGGGCCGTAGCACAGCTGCTTTTTCCCAGGTCAGTCTCAAGAGCCGGCAGGTCCTGGTGGTGACAGGATTGAGGAGGAGGAGGAGGAATAGGATGGAGGAGGATAGAAGAGGAGTGAAGAGGAGGAAGAGGATGGAGGAGGAGTGAGGCGGAGGAGGAGGAGTAGTAGTACGCAGCTGATGAGCAATGAATGTACTGTGCCTGTGCAAACTCACGTGCCGTGGAAAACAATCGGACACAAGCACGCTACACGCGCCGCGCTGCTCGCACAAGGAGGCGGGACCGACCGAGGGCCGACGCGGGGCCCGACCGAGGGGGGCCGAAGGCGGGGCGAACGAGGGCCCGAGCGGCCGCGAGGGAGAGGAGGCGAGAAGCAGGCGGGCGAGGGCCACTACGCACATATCAAAATCGCATAAGCTACTGCCCGCTGTCCGTGGCCTCAAACCACTACATATTTACCCTGGTGCCGCGGCAGCACAGCCACGCTCGAAGGCGCGGCGCTGTGCGCGGCCACACATCGATGGCCAGGCCCACGCCCAAGCTTCACACCTAGCGACCCGAGCATGCCGAACAAGTAAGCGCACGCCGCTGGTGATGGCTATGGTCCGTGGCTGCCCTCACGCTGATACGTCGATCCACTCCGAGAGTTCTTCTCCCATAACCCCAGTCTGGTCGGTGACCATGAACACACTCTTGATCATGTTCGACTGGTAGCAATTCACGCGGCGGCAGAACATCACGAAAACTGGCGGGTCGCCCACCGTGGCCGCCGACCACTCCACGAGTGTCTGCCAGCTGGCGCGCCCCACCTCCATTTTTGCCAAGCACTCGACCATCGCGCAGTCACCCGCATCCCTTGCCGCCTTTTCCTTGTCCTTGAACAGATTGACCTTGTCCCTCAGTGCCCGCGCGTTGAACGAGAACGTCTGGGCCTCCACTTGCCAGGCATTGGCATCCTCCATGCAGTCCTCCAAGATCACCGTCTTCATGCTCATGCCCCTCACCGCGCGGCACCGCCGCGCACGTTGGGTGTCCCGTAGCCTCGACCCCCTCGCTGGCACCACGTCCTGCTTGCTCCGATTCAGCGCATACTGCCGTGCTGCCGGCGACTGGTCCATGTACATGTCGTTCCTCTTGGGTACCACCGCACCGTCCGCAGCGTAGGCCATATCCTTCGGCACCAGCAGCGGCTTGAAGATATCGTCCATGGGCAGGCCTACGCTGAAGCCCACCATGAACTTGCGGAAGGTGATGGTCGTACACTCAGCGTTCTGTCTTCTCTCGAAGGCCGCCCACACGTGGACCACGTGATAGTTCTGCATGAGAGTCTCTGGCACCGACGTGTCGCCCATGGGGCGTCCGCTGCCACTGCGAACGGCACACCTCACATCGACCGCGTCGATACTCACAGTGAGGTTGCACCTGCGGGTCCTCGTCACATTCGTGGCGTAGCGGATGTCCTCATCATCCAGCTCCTTGATCAGGTGTGCCGTGTGCCCCGTCATGATCACCCTACTCTCCAACATCTCGAAGGCCGCACGGTGGGACTCGGGCTCATTCTGCAACTCCTCCAGCAACTCTTCTCGCCCTTCACCAGTGAGAGTCGCCTGGCTGAGTTTGGTACGGTCCCACCTCTCACGCATGGGGGTGCTCTGACCGTAGGAGCCCGCGAAGGTGGGGCCGCAGCCGTGGCACGTGTTGATCGCCATCCTTCCCACCGTGCAACGCCAGTCATGCGCCCGCCGCTGGTCGCACTTGTCCGAATAGACTTCGGGGCTGCCCGCCTTGTTCGGCTTGGGGGGGAGCACCATCACCGCATTCATCACCTGCTCCGACTGGAAGCGCCAGAAGCCCTTCCCCCCGACCCACGTCTCGTTCAGCATGATGGCACCTCCACACGCCTTCGTACCCTGCCGACTCCAGAGCCACCCGACCAGGATGGTGTGGTGGTACGTCGCCGTGTCCGCATGGTGGTACGCCGCCTGCCACGCGCGTACCCTTGTCCCAGGCACTCCATTGATGTCCACGTTGCGCAGCACCGTCGAGACCCCGTCGTGGTGGTATTCCGTTGCCAGCGAGTGGGGGTACGACGGGCCCAGGAAGCACCAGCGCAGGGCGCCGACGACTCCAATCCACGTGGCCATGATCAGCTTCAGCATGGAGCCGCAGGCACAACGCCCCACGGCGCGCATTGCGCGGCGCCTGGGCGGCAGCGTGCCGCAAGCCCCAGGTGGGGCGGCACACAGGGATCAGCGCCTGCGGGCCGCGGCAACCCCCATCACAGCAGGACAACCTCGGGGCGGCCACCTCTGGCAAGGGGGGGTCTGGGCCGCGTCGGCGGCTCCGGAGGAGGAGGAGGAGGAAGAGGAGGAGGACCTCTGTAGGAAGTTCGACGATCGACGCTGCACGGCTGCTGGTGCGCCTCTCTCTTCCGCCTGGGCCTCCGGGGGGGGGCTCCTCGTGGCGACGGCGAGATTCTCCCCTCGAGGTTCGGGCCTTTTTGCCTCCCGAGCCCCGACATCCGAGGTCATGCGCAAATCGACGCGGATGCTCTTTCTGTGTTGGACTCTCACGTCTGCAGAGTGATCCCTCCAGCCCTCTCGGCGGAGGTGTTTTTACGATTTTAGGGCGTTTCCTCATCCAACTCCCCTCTTCACCCTCGAGGGGTTTACCTTGGCTCCTTACTATTAAACGCCCCTTCCCCCACCCGACCAGCGATTGACCCATGAAAATGCCAACGCCCTCCCACCATGCCTGTCAACAGACATACAACACGCACTTTGCGGCAACATCTGGATCCTGTTCGAGCGCCCCGCGATCACTTCATACTGTTTTTCGCAGGGGAGACGGGGAAGCCACCAGATTGCCCCCGCGTGCGCAGGCCCACACAGTCCCTGTCAACCACAAGTGCAACATGCATGTTGCGGCAACATCTTCGACCATGTGCGGGCGCCCCGCGACCATTGGATGAGCAAGCTGCCCTAACACGCGCGGCGCACCTCGTGGGCGTCGCCCACCTGGCTGGCGTCTGTCTGCATAATTCCCGATGGCAGCCGATGGCTTCTCCTGCCTATGCCGAGGCTCGTGTGCTACTTACGTGTGGGGGGGGAGCGGGTGGGAGTGAGCGACACGACCGTCCTTGGGGGGGGGGGGGTAGCTTGATCGATGTTCCCTACTGGTAATCACCCCCTCCCCCCACCAGCGGCAGCCAACCCTTAATCAGGGGCCCAATCTTGCCCCAAGACCACCCCAAGATCGCTCCAATGTGCAACTTCTGGGGCTCCTGATGGGGGGGCGCAAATTAAGGACTCCCCCCTCTCTTCGATCGGTTTCCTTGAAGCTGACCCCAAGATGGCCCCCCAAGGCTTCCGAGACGGCCTCAAGAGCACCCGAGAGCGCCCCCCCATGGGGCAACCCTGCCCGAGAGGGGCAACCCTACTACGCGCCGCCTCTTGGTTAGAAAGGCGTCCTCCAAGATGGCGCTACAAGGGCTCCCAAGGCTCCCAAGAGGGTCTCAAGAAACGTGTACGGGAGGAGAGGGAGGAGGACCTCCTCCTCCTCCTCCTCCTCCTCCTCCTCCTCCTCCTCCTCCGCTTCGTCCTCCTCCTCGTCCTCCATTTCCTTCCCCTCTCCAACTTATGGTTGTAATGGTGATGGCTCAAGAGGGCTTCCAGCATGCCTCCGAAAGACCCCAGACCGCCTTCAAGGCGGCTCCAAGTGGCCACGGAGCCTCCCAGGGGCGCCCACGAGCCCTTACACTTCTCTGGGCAAGCGGAGGCCTCCAAAGATGTGGTCGGAGCAGACGGGGTCGAAGGATCTCGCCGCATCGCCAATGCATCGGCGACGTCGGCGTGGAGAAAATTTGGCTCCACATCGAGCCGCATCGACGATGCATCGGCGATGCGGCGCGATCCTCTGGCCCAATCTACTCGGACCCCACTCGGGAGGCCTAGACCAAGGCAATTCGACTCGGCATCGCTTCCGGACTCGAGCAGGGACAGACCGCCTGTCACTCCTATAGGCCTACTAAGACATCTTCTTATAACACAGCAAATCTAAAAACACCAGCAATGTTATCAGAACATACGGCCGATGCATTCAAATATTGCGGTCCCAGCCAGAAATGCTATACATAAGAACATCTCGTGCAAACGAATCAGGGCTCTTGGAACCATCTCTGGTGAGCCTAGAAGCGAGTCAGGACGCTGCGCCACTGCTTGACGGAAAACATGGTCCCAGAAACACCTCCACAACGACAACGTCGCCGACGTCGCCGGCGCGCTTGCGCTTGCGCTTGCGCGCGCCGGCATCCTCGGGCTCCTTCCGGCGGCCGCTGCGGCTGCGGCGGCGTCGGCTCCGGCTCTTGCTCCTGCCGTTGGGGCCCCCCCGCTCCTCGAGGCAAGACTGATCGCCATCATCCTCGTCCTCCTCCGCGACCTCCTCCCGCCTCTCTTCCTCGTCTCCCCCCCCCTCCCCGATCCCCCCTCCCCCATCCCTGATCCACTGGAGCAATATGAATACTACTCTCCCTCCCCTGAAGCTGTCCATAATATATCCCGCCCTCCGCGTATTTTTCATTCACAAGATTTCCAAATTTGTTTTTTTTTGTTCGTATGTTTTTCCAATCCAATACTTTTTGGTGTTTCGAAATAGTGCTCCCGCTGCAGCGTGGGCCTCATTTTCGGATCGGCGCTTTGCTCCCGTCGTTCAGGCTGGCGCTCGCTCTCGCCCCAGCGAGGGCCGCTTTCTGGATCCGAGTCTTGCTTCGTTGTGGTCCCCCCCCTTCATTTCACCTCCTCTGCTTTTCCCTGGTCCCCCTGTTCCTCTGGGTCCTTCTACTCCTATTCCTGCTGCTGTTCGTCTCGCCCCAGCGCGGGCCACTTTTCTGAATCCGAATCTTTCTTTATCGTTGTCGCCCCCCTCATTTTCCCTTCTCAACCTTCCCCTGTTTCTCCTGTTCCTCCCGATCTTTCTGCTTTAGTTCCTGCTGCTGTTCGTCCTGGTCCTTTTCCTCCCGCTCATCGTCCTGCTCACCCGCCACCTCCTCCTCCAGTGCACGCAGTCCCCTGTTCCGATTGCGCATAACACGAAATGAACTCTCTGTGGGAGTCGCAGGTCGGCTATGAAACGCGACCGCGGATAGATACAAATCAGCGCCATGGGAAGGGATGGGAGGAAGCGATATGATGTCCAATGAGGCGTGAGCGCACCTAGCTTGCCCTTCCCCCTCTCCATCTGCCCTCCTCCCATCGATCCTTCTCCCCTCCTCCCTTCCTCGGTCTTATCCTCCTTCCCTTCCCCTCACTCACCCACGATCAATCAACATGATCGGGGCTGCATCAGCGCGGGGTCGAAATCGGATCGGATCGGCGACGCCAGGATGCACAACTGTGCCGTGCAAACATCTGGCAACATCAGATCGCCAGAACATCGAAACAGAATTGAACTGCGCCCCGCGAGATCGAGGCCGAATCGGATCGACCGAATCGGCATGTGCCCTGCGAGGCTCCAGGCGCGAGGATCAGACAAGGTTTGGGTGCGCTTCTGGTCCTCTTCGGGCTCTCGGGGTGGGGGGCCAATGACGGGGCGGGCTTTGGCTCAGAGGGGGGAGAACGCGGACTTGGAGCTGGCGGTGCCTCGCCGATGGGCCATCGAGACCGCGAAGCCGCACGCTCCTGGGCGGGAGGAGAGGGCGGCCTGCCTGACTGAGGACCAGCAGCAACCCTGCGCGTGGAGGAAGCGGCCCGCTCCCTGCCATCCTTCCCTCCTCTTGCTCTCAGGTCGGGCGTGTCCACCTACAGGCGGATTCTGGAGGAATCATAAGAAAAGAATCAAACCATGTGCCCACAAATGGCCAACAATAGTCTGAAAGTCGTCCCCCGACTGTTTTTTTGACTATTTCTGAATATTCCTCCTGTGGAGGGACGTGCCCGACTTAATCTTACTCCTCGGCTTATGTTGCACCCATCGTACATAAAGACCACATCCCAGAAATGATCTCGAGCACCCGGAAAAGTGTCGAAAGAATGTCGGACGAGTGTCTCCCAGGGCCCGGTGCGTGAAAACCCGCGAGCTTCGGTACTTTTTTGGTGCTCGAAGTTCTCTCTGGTAATCACGGCCAACGTAGGTTGGCACATCCTAATTTTCGGTGTCTTCGTGATTTCCTCTTGCTCTCAAGTCGGGCGTGACCCCCTGCAGACGGATTGTGGAGGAACCGTAGAAATAAACATAACATATGCCCAAACATGGCCAACCATAGTCTAAGCAGCGCCAGTGCAGTCTTGTATGCGTGTATATATATATATGTATATATATATATATATATATATATATATATCCACCGGCCCCCCTGTGGGGCTACCAGGCTGTAGGCCTAAGCTGTGCAATTTCCTGTGCCAGTTGCAGCTTCCAGTTTCCACTGTTACAATTCTGCTTCTTGCTGCTTACTGTTCCTTGTTGACTTCTGACTTGTCTCGAACGCTCCTGACTGACCTCGCGGCCTAGGGCGCCCTGCCCTGACCGCTCCTCCTGTCCATGGCAAGGTCTCTTGGCGTTCTCCTTCGGGTACGACCTGTTCGTCGCCTTCTGCAATGCCTGGCCCTGTCTTCTCTACTCCCTCCCTCCTTCACACCTGATATAGGGACGGTTAGTCCCCCCTGATTCCGCAGGTTACACCTGCCTCCGGTGGCTGGTGGGGCCGCCCGGGTGCCGGCGCAGGGTTTCCGCGGCGCTGGCAGGCCAGCCTGGCTGGCCTCTCTCCTCCCTGCCCGCTTCTCCCTTTCCCCGCCCGCTACCCCCCCTCCCGCCACCATGGCGGCCGCGCCCGGCACAGCGCGGCTTCGGCCCGGTGCCCGGCGCTCGCACGCGCTGGTCCTGTTTCACCCTGCCGCCTCGGCGGCCCCGGCCCGGCCCTGGGCTCCGCGGACAACGGCAACGCCCTGGTACAGCGCGGCTTCGGCCCGGTCCTGAGCGCTCGCCCCTGCAGGACCGGATCCGTTCCACCTCCCGCTCCAGTGCACTGGCACCCTGTCGGTCGTCACAGGCGGCATGGTCTTGGCGTATCCTGACTGCCGCGCCTCAAGTCTCTGCGGTTCCTGTACCCTGGACCTGTGGCACCATGAACCGCCACGGCCCTGTGGCACCCGCTCCTGCTCCCTGTACGATGGCACAACGCTGCACTTCGTCTCAGCGTCGCTCGCCTCGCTCTCCCTGATCCCTGACGCAACTTGGTTGAAAGGCGCGTCACCTCTCGCCGCCAACTCGAGGCTGGTGTAAAATGATGAGCCGTTGACGGCAGCACCAACCACAGCATTTTGCTTCGACCGGTACTCCGCCACCGGGTTCATGGAAAAGGCGCTCCTTTGCAAATACGTCGGCTTCGGCACCGCCTGATTCCGCGGCTTTGCCTCATCCCGGCCTCGTCCGTTAATTCAAGCTTCGCGCGGCCCGCTTAGCTTCGACCGGAAGAGGTGCGCTCTCGACCCGCGAATCAAAAAAAAAACTGTTCCTTGTTGACTTCTTGCTGCTTACTCTTCCTTGTTGATGGACCGCGATAAGGGGGGGAGGCCCACAACGGGTATTTCTACCACGCCCAAATAATATTGTCTGAATTGCTGAGGTGGGTAAATATTGACACCCCTCACGCAGATCGGCGGGGTCAGGGTCCAAAAACACAGGATTTGCCACATTTCTGAAATTCGGTGGCACCTCTCATGCAGATCGGCGGGGTCAGGGTGCAAAAACACATGGGATTTGCCACAGCTCTAAAATCCGGCGGCGCCTCTCACGCAGAGCGGCGAGGTCATGGTGCAAAAACACATTGGATTTGCCACATTTCTAAAATTTGGTGGCACCTCTCATGCAGATCGGCGGGGTCAGAGTCCAAAAACACTTGGGATTTGCCACATTTCTGAAATTCAATGGCACCCCTCACGCAGATCGGCGGGGTCAGGGTCCAAAAACACATGGGATTTGCCACATGTTTGAAATTCGGTGACGCCCCTCACGCAGATCGGCGGGGTCAGGGTCCAAAAACATTTGGGATTTGCCACATTTCTGAAATTCAATGGCACCCCTCACGCAGATCGGCGGGGTCAGGGTGCAAAAACACAAGGGATTCGCCACATTTCTGAAATCTGGTGGCACCCCTCACGCAGAGCGGCGGGGTCAGGGTCCAAAAACACGGGGGATTTGTTCAATTTTTGAAATTCGGCGGCACCCCTCACGCAGATCCGTCGGGCCAGGGTCGAAAAACAAACAGGTCCCGACGCTGCTTCACGGCGAAGCCAAAGCCTCATGACTTCGCTCTTCCACGGCCCATTCTCCGAGAGAGGGGGCCGGCGGCAGGGGGCGAAGCCCTTACGGATACATCTACATCTACATATATATATATATATATATATATATATATATCTATATATATTTATATATAGACATACATACGTATAAATATAAACATCAATTTTTGCATACTCCTCCTGTAGAGGGACGTGTCCGACTTGCTCTCGCGCCTGTGTCTTCGTGACCCTCCTCCGTTGTCGACCCCCCAGGGGCGCCTGGCGGGGCCGAGGGCCCCCGGCCCGCCTCGGACCTCCAGGGCTGTGCTGTTCCCACCGTACTTCTCGGGGATGGGCACCCCCCTTTAGTAAAACGTGGTCTAGCGAGAGCGGCCTGAGGCCCAGTCTTGGCGGGCGCAGGCCTGGAAAACGACGGCCGCGGCGCCCTCTCGAGAACCGAACACGGACAATTCGCCAATCGACGTGTCACTGTTAGGGGTTCTGTCCGCCCCCGAAGTTGAGGGCCACATCCCAGAAGTAATGTCGAGCACCCGGAAAAGTGTCGAAACAGTGTCCCAGGGCCCGACACGAGAACCCCCTCGAGTTTCGGTACTTCCTTGGTGCTCGAAATTCTTCCTGGTGATGAGGGCTAAAGTAGGTTGGAACAGCATAACTCCAGGGGCCTCCGTGGAGGGGAAGAGCGATCAAGGGGCCCAGGGACACACACACACAAGTAGACACAACTCCCAGGATTCTCCCCAGATTTTCTGGGTGTTCGTCTTCCCTCCCACTTCCCATACGTTCCGATATTTTCCTGGGAGTCGACGACTAGCTGTGTCTGTGTCTTTTTTCTCTTCCTGAAGAACAGAGGGGACCATGACCAAGACTGAACGTGGAACCGTCGTGCCGATCTTGGTCCCCGTCGATCTTGGTCAACGTCAACTCGCGGATCAGCCTCGCGAGTCGGTGACGGCCGGCATGCACCATGACCAAGATCAGCGTCGACAAACCTCCACGACACCCTGGCCATGGTTAGAAGCAGAAAAAACGCCACAAACATAAACTTTTGGCGCTCCGCGCGGATTTTTTGGAT